TTTTAATATAATACCAGGAGAAATACGCGGTTTCTCGTTCCTCCATTTAAAGGTCTTTTAATCATTTTCTGCAAAATCCGCGCGGTCATTCCCCCCCCCCCCCCCCCCCGGAAACCAATATCCAGAAGCCATCTTCGAAAACGCCTCGTGCCAGAAACAAGGAAACAGGATGGAGCTGGCGATAAACTGTTCATGAAGCTCCTTTTCGCTTTCTCCCATCCTTCCTCGCATACATATATCGTCCCCGTGAGTAATTAGCTGGTATATGTATCTCCGCCCGACCTTCAATCGGTGTTTCGTAAACGACGTCCGCTCGATCGTCTCTACCGCAACCCTAGATCCGTCATCTCGACGCTGTCTGCCGATCCCATCCAAAGGATGTTGTTGCATCTGTTTTACGCGGCCAAATGTTAGCGGCTGTGTTCTCGGTAACAGATTCCCGGCAAAACACAGCATCCATATGACACCAGCAGTGCTTGGGAACAAGTATTGCGCGATCGACGGATAGAAAAAGAATATGAACGCACCTGATCAGCACTAGGCCCAGAGTACCTGTGTTCTTTCCGTCAATGAATTCCTCCGTGTCTCGCAGCAGCACGTTCATGTACGAATCGATGCTCTCCAGCTTGCCCTTGTACTCGGTCTGACCCCATTTGAGACGGATGACGAGCTCGGTGCCGACCCTATTGACCTCTAAGTTAGCGTTCAGGTTCACAGCATGATTCGAGCGCGATCGGGTTTCAGAATGACAAGGGTGAAAAGGATTGGCGAGCGCGATCGACGGCTTTCGTCAAGACGGGGAGACGTACCGAGCCTGCAGGAAGGGCCGAGGATTGACGGGTTGGAACTATTCAAAGCAAGTCAGAAAATACTCTCATAGCATTCAAAAGCATTTGCTCATTAGGATGAACAAGATGGAATGGATAAGGAATACGAACACTCATGGCTGCAAATGCTCAAGCTGATTTGATTCAACAGCTGCCGGTAACGCGATTTTTGCTGGTCACAGACTGCAATCTAAGCACGGATATAAAGTGACCAAGTAGGTAGAAAGAGATCCTCCTCCGGGGAAAGGTGAGTTTTGTTGGTGGTGCGTTGAATTGAGTGAGGGTTCCTCGCGGTCGCCAGCTTGACGGGACGTTCAACTTCTCCGGCCGCGAAAATGTGATGCGCCTGGCAGTTTCCCGCCAATAATAGGGGGCTGTGCTACACCGCCTTTATTGCGTGAAGGGAAATCTTCCTGCAGTTGCACAACTTCCATCGTTTGTTTATTCTTATCTAGAACGTTTTTATGATACATATTATGAAATGGTTCGTGATTGAAATATTTTGATTTTTTAAACTAGCTCATATAACATGGTCGCATCTGCTCTGTTATTGCATGCACGAACTAAAAGCCACGGCTGAGCAAGATGAGAGATACACACAATCAAGGAAGAAATTCGTTAATAAAACAAGCTACATGACTCTTATGATCAAGTGCATATTCAGATGCAGACTCAGGTGGTGTACCAGACGCAGGTGGTGTACTCCGTAGTGCTTGTACATTGATGCATTAGCATAGAAATTCCTTCAAGCTCTTCCAATCTCCCAGCTGATTTCCTTGACGGCGACCTCGTCTCCGGCCTTTTCATCGTAGTCATACCACTCGCCCTCGGAGAGATCGATGGCTGTGAAAGGAGTGGAAGACTCGATACCCTTGGCTTCCCATTCTCCCTGTGTCGTCTCAGTCAGTCAAGGGGATATATAGAACTTGGCGAAGACGGGGAAGAGCACTACTGACGTCGGGTTTGAATTCAGTGAATTCCAGGCCACGGCAGTCGAGGTCAATGACCTTCTGGCCTTTGCGCTTCTCCTGGGGCTCGTAAGCATTTGGCTTATTCATGATCGAAGCCGAATGAGTTTTCTGTGGTAGATGGGTTAGCTTCTCCATGGGCAACTCTGTCTTGCGCTCTGCTCCTCCATTCTTCGAATCTCGGAACATAGATTATAACAGAAGTAAAAGAATGAGAGATATGAATAGACGAGGGCGCAAAACAGTTTTTGTTGTGAAAGCCAGAGGAAGTAGCAATGAGCCATGTTCCTTAGCTCAGAGTTCAAACCCACCGTGCAAAGTTTGCATTTCCACACAAAGTTGGCCTCTCCACGGCTTCCAGGGATCTCATGTTGCTCCTGTGTGACATTGAGTTAGCAAACTTCCATTGAAAGTTCTTTATAACCGGTGGGTGAGATGAAATATCACGAGAAAAACTTACAAAGCGGTTGAAGCTAACCCAGTTCGGGTGAGTCTCGCGACAAGCATTGCATTGAACCTTGAAGGTGTAGTAATAAGGCTCATCCTCAGTATCGGTAGGACGAAGCTCGGTGACTCTGCATGAACAGATGATCGATATAAGTAAGCCAAGCAAAGTGACACGGTCAGGTGCGGGGAAGCAAAGCAAATGCGGAAGACACAAATAATGAGATGGATTAGATTTTTCAAGGTTCAAGTCAATAATCTTACCCGTTGAGTTCCGCAGTGAGGATAAGAGAGAGCATTTTGACGGTCTGGACGGTGGTGTGAAGTAAACCGTGAATTGTCTGCAGAAGAAAGTCTTCACACGGGGTGCGGGGTGGGATTATTTGCGCGAAGATGTCGTTGGTCATCGGCTCGCACAACGTCGGCGGAGAACTTCCAAACCACACAAAGACAGCTCTACAAACAAGCCCTACAATACTCATCACTTCAAAGATCATATAAGAAATCTAATTTGATTGCAAGTAGATATTAAAACGCCAAGCATGCTGTTCCACAATCGCTCAAACTGAACGAATCAAACCACAAAAAAGAAACTCCAAGACAGGTATATACATCAGTCTATCGTGTCAGATACAATGATACAGAGGCATCCACGAAAAAAAAAAGGTCAAAGAACAATCCTATCGGAGTTGCATCCGCATGCCCGTTGAGGCGTGCAGAAGCTCCATCTGATCCGCCAATGGATGGTTCAATGGGCGTTTCAACATCATATGTTTCTAGCTTATAGACGGCTCTGCTGCTGGTCCTGGCCCAGAGACTTCGTCGAGAATGCGTTGAAGTAGGCATTGAGAGCGTCCGCAGTGCCGCTGCCTTCGGCCAGCTTCACCAGACAGGCGACGTGGCTGTCAGGGCGAGTGACAACAATACCTCCCTGCTCGGGATCGAACCCAAGCTTCTCGTGGGCAGCAAACTTGGCAGTGGGGACTCTCACGTCGGGAATGCTGTCGGCATAGATATGGTGGTGGTAATCCCGAAGGATCTGGGGCACTGCCTCCATATCGATCTGGTTCTTCTCCGCAGCATAGACCAGGCAGATGGTGAAGAGTTTCGAGTGGGGCTGGTGACGCTCGAAGAACGAAACATCCTTAATGTCGGGTCTACGGTGCACGGAGAGGAACGAGCGTTCCTTCTCCAAGTTGGCACCCAGATCCGCAATGGCCTTCTTAGTGTTGGCCTGCTTGCCAGCAAAGATGAAGATTCGGAAGGCACCGTTAGCAGGGATTTCCTGCTCCAAATGCACCGAGTTGGAATCCGCAAGCCGGGTGACGGTCGAAGGCGTAAAAGCGCGACCGGGAGTCAGCTTCACACCGGGGATGTTGAACAGAGGCGACTGGGCAGGGTGGCTTTCATCCCAGTTGAAGACATTGGGCTTGTAAGCAACCCCGTAACCACTGGTGAACTCGCACGAAGACTTGAAAGTCTTGACGAATTCGTCCTCCTCTGCGCCGGCAGCGGCAGCGGTGTGGCTAGCAGATCCAACCTCGCCGGCAGATGGACGACGCTTGGAGAACAGGGCAGCATATCTGGCGTCGAAGTCAAGCAGAGTCTCCGCAACATCTTTGCGCTCGCTTTCGTAGGTGCTCAAAATGGATCGGTCGGCAAGTCCGGATTCGACGGCGTGCAGCTTCCAAGCCATGTTGAGAGCGTCATGGAAAGCAGTGTTCATTCCCTGACCAGCTTTGGGCTACATTGAAGTTAGCACTTGCTCAATTGACATATGATAAGAGGATGAAGTCTAATAACGTACGCTGTGCGTATGGCAAGCATCACCACCCATGAAAACACGCTCGTCCAGAGTGTATTTCTCGGAAATACCCTGTCCAATGGGGTAGACAGAGTACCATTCCACACGATCCCATTCCAAAGTATAAGGTTGGAGGATCTTCTTCGCGGTGTTCTGGACCTCTTCGGCAGTCGCGGTCTTTCTCGGGTTGAAATCGGGATCGGTGGAGGACGCGATTTGGACATACAGGCGAACCATGTTGTCTTCACGGGGGATGACCATGATCGAGCCGGCATCAGAGTGGATAGTACACTTCGTCTATAAGATGGGAACATAGGTGGTTAGAATGATCGAGTTCTCGGAGAAGGTCAGAAGATTCCGTTTATCCACATACCTCGATATCGGGGAAGTTAGTCCTCACAACACCATCCATAACACCCCACACATAGGAGATAGGGTCCTTGTGTCGGATATTGATACCAAGCTCTTGGCGGACGAAACTCCGAGCGCCCTCGCCGCTGAAAAGGTACTTCGTGCGAACAGTCTCGATGACATTGGTGTCAATGGACTTCAGCTGGACTTCCACGGGATACGTCTCATCCAGGCCATCGTTCTTAAATCCATGGATGGTCCACGGACGCTCCACGGTCGTGCCAGCCTTCTTGATCTCATCCAGGAAAACGCGCTCAATCTTACCCTGGTGAACCAGGGTGGTGAAAGGGTAGCGGGTGTCGATGAAGCGCGGGCAGCTAGGCCAGCTACCGGTGCGGTGGATACCTTTTCCGTCGCCGAGAGGATCCCAGAAGGCGACGTCGTAGACCTTGGCGGGCTCGTAAGCCATGATCTGGCGCTTGAGTCCCAGGTTCCGGAGAATCTCTGTGGAGCGGGGTTGGATTCCGTCGGCACGGCCAGTGGCAGTGGGCACCGGTCGGTTGTCAATGTGCTTTACTTTGTAACCCCATCGGGACATGCAAAGCGACAACAAAATGCCGACAGGGCCTGCGCCCACGATGACAATGTCGTAGTGTTCCTGGGGATGGCCCATACTGACGATGTTATGCGATCAACCGGCGGTAGGGATACTAGTCGTTTGTGGGGTGATGATCGACAGTGAACAATTGGTTGGTTGATAGGATTGGACAAGGGACTAAGTATGATTACCGCATCTATCTGAGGGGGCGAAGAGGAAGCCAAAGGAAGTTGATCAAGGGAAAGCGATCATCAGGATGATATGAGGGAAAAGAAAAGTGAGATGCATGAAGGGACGCAGGGACTCATATATAAATTATGATTGAAGCCAGCTGGGGGCAGCGGACCGGAGAGAACCAGCGGCGAGGCGCCCAACGGAGAACCACAACGGCATTCATATTCGGCTGGATTGTGGGGGCAAGGCTGTTCGTAAGCAGAAGCTGAGAGGGAGCTGACTGGGGGAGCAGCGGCAGCGCAGGCAAACCCGCAACTGGAGAAGCTGGCAGAACCAGCACTAGTGACCCTGCGGGGAGCGAATGCCGGTCTGTTTTCCGAACGTCTGGAGTGGCAGCGGAAAGAATCTCGGCAAGTGGAGGGGCCCCACGTGATGTCCTCGCCGTCGGCAGAATCGCCGGGATTTCGGCCACTTTCGTCACTTTCGCGTGGCCCTGATTGGCTCCCGTCTGACTCAGCCGCCGGTCCCCTGTGGTGGCCTCAGGCTGCTATTGACTGCCTGAGGCTTCGCATGGCCGCTTCAGGCTGACCGACTGCCACCGGACATTCCGGACTCCACAGGCGGATTCCTGCTTAGCGATAGAGTCCTGGTAAGGTCCATTCCGCGGGCAATCGAGATCGGCTCTTACGGAGTCGACCTGAATTCTTCTATTTTTGCATACCTACTGTTTACACCGTGCGCATCTCCCGTACCCCAATCCCTAGGCATCGGACGATCGGTCCTATAGGCTATTGTCATCCTTGAAGGTCTACATGGTCCGGGAGAAGCTTCGGTTCCTACCTTGTATTCTCTGCAGTATTCCCAAGGTAACTCAAAATTGGCTGGTCTGTATTTACGGCATGCCGAACCGGCTTGGGCCATCTTATGGGGGTGCATCACACTGTAGCATACAAGAATCTTGGCATCTTTAGGAAGAAGAACAATAAGGAATAGTAGGTATAATTAATGATAACATTAAGATTTATGTCATTCATTGGTATTACGTAGTCTCTGACATCTCATTCCCTTCCCTTTTTTTCATTCGTGAATTAAGGTAAACAAACCAAGTCTACTTAAATTGAAATGTTATTATCCAGAAGTATGCTCTAGCGAGAATTCATATTCATATACAACATATTGTAGCTGAAGGGCGACAACTAGGGAAGAAAAAGAAAAAGAAAAGACGTGGAAGAATCGCAGGTACATTGTCCATAGTGTATTGTCAGAGGTGAGGACAACTCTATTCAGAGTACAATATCCTTGTGTTATGGAGTTTGGTGTGTCGACCGGCCTCAGCAGAATTGCCACTGCCTTTGAATAGCCTTGCTACGTGAATAGATCCTATGATAACGGTCACCGGATTTAGCTAGGATTGGTTGCTACCAGTTTTTCAAATTGTATGGTGAATTTCGTTGTTCTATTGTTCTATTGACCCATTCACCAATGCCTCCTGCACGGAATAAGGCCTATTGTTGAGCTAGTGCTGCCTACTGAACAGGCCTCCATAGTTAATACAATACGGCGATTGCATTGTTCTCAATAGGGAATCCGACACTAGATTCATAGTCAATGAGTACTCCAGGCAGTTCGAATGTTCTATAGATAGCATCCTCGATGTCTGTAGGCAATTGATCCTGCATCCCCATCTTCATTTCTCTGTTTGCTCATAGCAATTTCCTCCTTGCTTCTAGATACATCTAATCATCTCTTCAGCTTCTGAAAACCCCGAAACCTTATCTAGAGGAGCTTCGCATTCTTTGCATGTCTAATATGAATCGCGAGGACTGTGACATCCCCATCATGCTTAGCATGGAGTGAGTCAAAATTTCCGCATCGCAGCGATCCCTATACTAATGGTTGCTGTTGTAGCCACTTCGACTACGAAGACATCGCCAAGCTCAATCCCTTCTACGACGAATACAGATCTTTCGGGGAGTTTCCATCGGATGAAACGTACTCTTCGCTATCCTCCAACACTTCCTCGAACACCTCCCCCGTCAGCTCTTCGTTCCAGTCAATTCATTCTGGGCTTGACATGGTCGTTACCCCTCTAGAAGTATCTCCATCTCCTCCAATGCACCATACCCAAGTATTTGATCAGTTCCCCGTGTCGGAGGGGCCTTGTGTGGTTGTCCATGGCGGAAATGAACACAGGGCGATCTACACCACGCATGAAAAGCCCGCGGTGGCTCAGGTCGCAATCGTGGAGTATGAACGGCATTCCAAACAGCCCACGAAGCTGGTGAAAAGCATCCTAGATTCGGGCGAGTCGGACTTGCTGTGTCTCGATCTTGTCGATAATCCGTTCAAGGCAAAATTTACCTCGCACAAAAAGCTCTTCGGCGAAAATGGCTGGCTTGGGAACGCTCCAGAAACGAATCACCAGTCGAACGAGAAGCACATGTCAAAGACATTCATCAAGCTGGGAAAGAAGATCAAACACCAAGTCGAAGAGTTTGTAAGTTTCCTCCGAGTTTGTTCCAAATTTGATTTCATGGACTCAGCCTAACACCGGTATCAGGCCGAGGATATGGTGAAGGTCTATCCTATTCCATTCATCCATGCCCAGCGTCCCTTGAGAATGCTTCCCACGACGACTGTTCCTATTTCGCTGAATCCTCCGATGCAAGCCAAGATGTATTCTGAGCTGGAGGTCATGATCTGTGTTACTGCGAACGACTTTCTGGTCCAGCAATACAGCAGTGGACGGGTCTCCGAAGAATCGATCAGGAAAGTCAAGAGCTTCTGGGAATCGAAAAATAGGCCTCAGGTTGTTGAGTTCCAATTCGATCAGGGCACTCAGCGCCGGCTGATCCTATCGAATATCCGCACTCTACAGTTCAACGGCGAGAGTTCGACCAATCCGATTCTCCTGCATTCGAATCTCCGTAATTGGAAGGCAATCGTACAAGAGATGAGTGTGCGTACATTCTGTGCTCCCGACAGCGCTATCCGCAAGCAAATGCATGATATTCACAAGCTCCTTGAGATGCTAGGAGTGCCGACCGTGACCTTCCTTGCCTTCCAGGACCTTCAAATGAAAGCCTTGGCCATGATGAAGAAGCATCTAGAGAAACGCTACTCTGACGAGAAGGGCACCAGCAAGTCGTCTAGACTCAGAAACGGATCCACTCAAGGGCGCTGGGGACAGGTTGTTTAGGCGCCGGTGCTACCTAGTGTGCCCGGCCATGTATTTCTAATCGCTGTCTGCGATTTTGTAGTTAGCTCTGGTCTTTTTCTTTCTTTCTTTCTTTTCACCTCATCTCTTATGTTCCTTTCCCTTCAAGTTTCAAGCGAGGGAGTTCAGTGGCTGGGAATTTTTCCTTTGTATTCTTGTGGAAGCTTGAATATCTCGTTAAGCAATAGGCGCGTTGATAAAACGCCAATGAAAGAAATGTTTGTTTTTACTCCGAGACGGGTGCACGTGGGCCGACGTCATAGGCGGAATCACGAGAAAGGGCTGGGCTGGGCTGGAGACCGCCAAACCCTCGCCCTGTTCTCCCTGATCTTTCTGTCTGCTGGTAGAGCTAAATGCCGGTCGGTCGACCCAGAAATGCAAGTTGACGGTGAAGGCACTGAGTTTTTACTATGACCTATCTTTTTCCATCTTCGATCCTTGGGCTCCCTAAGCTCCTTACTTGAGACCTGCTGCCCCCTTGCTGACACCGCTCCAGTAACTAGGCATCAGGGAGATTTTAGTGCTGCAATAGCAACTAACCAGTTCTTGACCCAACGATGACGGTCTTTCGTTGAATCCCTCATCCTATTCCTATCTTTCCACAGTAGGAAGATTTAGATTTCCACTCCGCGTGGATCGTCCCCCGCCGAGCTATCACGATGACAGGTCCCATCCACACCTACGGCCCATCATGCCTTCTTGCCGAAGACGAGCCCGATCTATCTACTTGGCACTCTTCAGACAGCGCTCCAAAAGTTCGTCCACAGTTCTTTTACACGTCCTCGTTGCCAATCGATGATCCCTTAACTGCCCTGCCGCCTCCTTCAGGCGGTCAAGATTCGGGAAACGAAAGAGCTCCACCACAACCCTTTTCGGTCAAAGACAATATCGTGCTGGAAGAGACATGGCTATCCTTACTACGAGCCGGAAAGCAGAAGGTATCTTCGGGGAAAAGATCGCTGGAGGGTTCTGCGGTCTTGTCAAAGAAAGGAGTCACCGTCCCCGGACACAAGTCTGTTCCACGAGACCGCAGAAGGCCGACAGGAACCCTTGGTGATACAAGCCTGGCTGGCAGTGAAAGGAGCCATGCAAGCTTCCCCGATTTCTCCCTCGAGGAACGAGCACCACCGAACTTCGGAACACGATCTAGCCTTGAGTCCGGCAGTGTAGAAGCAGACAACAAAGACTTGGGGGAAAGGGTACGCCCTCGCTCTACGTTGGATAATGCCCTGAAAGCTGCCGATGCGTCCAGTCCGCTTAGTTATCGGAAACGAGACCCGTCTCCAAACAATAGTCCCAGAGCTACCAGACGCAGGACCAACGAGTCACCGCAAAGTGAAGATACGGCTATCGAGGGGATAGAAAGCGGAAGTTTACGCGGATGCTCTTCACGCGACGGAAGTATAAGTGGCTCTCCATTCGCGAGGGCACCCTCGACCCAACCGCAAAGCCTGTTAGGACGCTCGGTGGATTCTATTGCATCGAAGGATGGCAACCCGACGCTTCAACCCGAAGCCTCAGCCAGTGTTTCTAGTCACGTAGCTCCGAAACCATCTGGGCTCAGAATTAGTGCCCATCCAGACGAGTCACCGGATAGTCTAGAAGAGGATGAAGAATCAACAAAGAACGAGGCAGCTCAGACGAAGATCCCCGTCGGCGTATCCCGTCTTCACTTGGTGGAACTGCCCAATCTGAAGGTACAAATCACCTATATTCAATGCCACAATTGACCGCATGTCTAGACAACGAGACACTCACTTTTGAATAGATGAAACCGATATACTGGAGTCCTCTACATGACATATCGAGCGTTCTCCGCGCAACGTGGTTCTACAAGAATACTATGCTACCGGTGGAAACAGACCTGGCCAATAAACTCGAAGACGGCTACGTGTATTTGAAACCATGGACTGAAACCTGGCAGGATGAGCTCAACAGTTGCGTAGAGAATGGAGCGGATGCAGAGATAAAGATTGTACACAGGTTGTGGTCCAAGGAAGATTCAAAATCTCAACCCGCATCTACCACGGCTCATGCTCAGAGTACGTCAACTTCTCGTCCTGTAACATCAGAAGCACAGGAAAATGACAAATCCGATGACACCAAATTTGATGAGAATCGAGCTGCCGGTGGAACAGCTGTCCATTCTGAAGCCGTCAAGCCTTTCATTCACTCAAGCGTCATCTACGTTGACGGAAAGGATGCACAGGTTCTTCGGCCCAGCCTGCTTCCCTCGGTGGCTAGAGGAAGAAGGCCACTTAGTTCGATTCGCAAGGGGCGACAAATAGGGATCCCTGTAATTCGAGGTTTCAGTAGACGACTCTGGGAACAGCTACACCCGTCTAAGCCCAATCCGGTTGATGTCAGAAACTATCTCCGAAGCACTCAATCTCGCACTATGACCAGGGCGAGCGGCGGCCGGCAAGTCTGCTATGCCTGTGCAATGGAGGAGTCACGGCCTTCTCCCACAGACCTGATACTTGTCGTGCATGGGATAGGGCAAAAGCTTTCAGAGCGCATGGAGAGCTTCCATTTCACACATGCTATCAATGCATTCCGTAGGAATGTCAACATGGAGCTAAACAGCGAGCCGGTCTGGCCACACGTACGGCAAGACCATGGCGGAATCATGGTTCTCCCTGTTAACTGGCGTTCTACGTTGTCTTTGGATGATGCCACTCTCGAGTCGCAAGCAGCTGACGACCCTACCGCCAATCACTTTACGCTGAAAGATATCACACCAGACACGATACCCGCGGTCAGATCACTCATTAGTGATGTCATGCTTGATATTCCGTATTACTTGTCTCATCACAAGCCGAAAATGGTTCAAGCTGTCGTGAAAGAAGCCAACCGTGTCTATCGACTCTGGTGTAAGAACAATCCCGGGTTTCAACATAATGGCCGGGTGCATTTGCTGGCACATTCTCTTGGAAGTGCGATGGCACTAGATATTCTCAGTCACCAGCCAACCACGATACCTGACTTTGATTTTCCCAAGACTCCTCTTCATGGAGACATCTTTGAATTCGATACGAAGAATCTCTTCATCTGTGGGAGTCCGGCAGGATTCTTCCTTCTTCTCAACAAAGGTATGCTTCACAGAATCCTTATCAATCAGAAGTTCTGTGTTAACGCTCATGTTTCATAGCGAATCTTTTACCTCGGCGTGGTAGGGATAAACCTGGCTGTGAAGGAGAAGACCGTCTTCGAGGAGTTGCCGGGGAGGCTGAGACATACGGGTGTCTAGCTGTAGACAACCTCTACAACATAATGCATACTACAGACCGTGAGTATGCCCTGTATGTCCCACAATCCGCTCTTTACTGACTTAAATCAGCAATTGCATACCGTGTCAACGCCGCCGTCGACACCGACTTAGCTAATTCCTTAAGAACCGCCTCCATCCCCAGCTCCTCCGCTTCATTCTGGCAATCTTTCGGCAGCGTCTTTCGCTGGAGCTCACCTCCTTCCTTCATGTCCTCTACAGCCACTCCCTCCCGGCCCGCCGCCGTCGCCAAACTCCCTTCCAACGTGGAGCTAGAAACACACGACTTTACTCGCGAAGAAATCGCTGAGAAACGCATGGCTCTGCTCAACGACAACGGCCAGATCGATTACTTTCTCTCCGGCGGCAGTGGGCCGCTGAACATCCAGTACTTGAACATGCTGAGTGCGCATAGCAGCTACTGGACGCTCACCGACTTCGTCCGCTTCCTCGTCATTGAAATTGCCCGGAAACAGGGCAAGGATGCCACGCTACCCGCGCTACGGGCTGAGAAGAAGGGGTGGAAATATCATAAAGGCTGATTTTGGTACACAATATTTGACGTTTTTATGAGATCAGGACAGGACAAGGTACTATGTTATGTGTCTTCTTCTTTTCGGTTTTCATGGCTACGCTTTTTGGTAGCGGGATAGTTTCATGAAGTTATGCTCGGTGTTGTTGCACGATACCCTTTCTCTTCTGTTGAGTCTTGAGATCTTTTCTTTTATGGATGCTCCTCTACCTGATATTTGTTTTTCATTTAACTATTGGGAATAGTCACAGGTTTGATAGATATAGTTTTCTTTGGTTGTTCAAATTACAGTCTCCGACTTTTATAAAAGATATTAAAAGACATAAGATGTGAACGTAAACAATATAATACCCAACGAATGCCCTATCCAAATACTGGTTCCTCAGCCACAACAGCACCCAACATCAGAGCCTCTACCAAAGCGCCCTGTTCAGCCTTGCCGCTTCCCGGCTGCAGTACCAAGAGCGAGTTCGCGCTCGCAAGGCTGCCTACCCTCGAGCTCCGCTGACCGACGCCTTCCATGCCCGTGCTAGTTGCATAGAGTCGTCCATCGGAGTGAGACGCCGTCACAATGGCCCGGTGATACTCGGTGCGTTTCGCGTCGCGCGGGAATGAATGGCAGAGGGAGACAGAGACAAGAGGTAGCCCGAATGTAGGCAGCACGCCCGCCGAAACCTCTCCTTGACCCATTCCCATCAGTTTGTGGAGAGAGGGAAGAACGAACAGGTTCAGAGTGACAAGCGCCGAGGCGGGGTTGCCCGGGAGCGAGAAAATAAGTTTCGTCTCACGCTCTTGCTGTGCTGACGCTGTCGACGTTGATGAGGAGGCTTTGAATGGGACCGTTGCGAAAGTGGTCGGTTTGCCGGGTTTCATGGACACTCGACCGAAATGGATGGTGCCGCCGAGAGAACGCTCAATGGTGGGTTTAAGTAGATCGAGCTCGCCCATTGATACGCCGCCGGTGGTGATGATCACGTCGACGCTGGTGTTTGCTTTTCCGACTCCTCGGAGAGCGTCTCGGAGGCTGTGCTCAAGTTCGCCTACGGGTGTGTCGCGAGCAATGCCCAGGTCGACTGTTGGGAACCCCCAGGAAGCAAGACAAGACAAAAGTGAGGGCCGGTTAGAGTCGCGAATCTGTCCCCCGTAGAGCTTGCTTGGGTCGTCGTGCTCTACCAGCTCGTCTCCGGTACTCAGAACTCCAACACAGGGCTTCTTGTATACCTTGACCGTCCTCGTGCCGGTGGCCGCTAAGAGCCCTATTTCACCTCCGACAGAGGTGATCAAGTCTCCCTTTCGAAGAATCTTTGAGCCCAGTGCGACGTCGCTACCTGGCTCGCGTACGTTTTCCTTTGGTTTAATGTCGCCCGTCAAGATCTCCACGGTTGCCTCCTCTTTACCGTCGGGGGTTGAGGACGCCAGTACGGTGTCCTCAACCATCACAACGGCATTCGCATTTGGCGGAAGAGGCGCTCCTGTTGTGATTCTCGCAATATTGTCCGGTTCAAGCGGTGCCAGAGCGCCCCCAGAATTGGCATGAGTAATCGATGCCACGGGGAAGATGCCCTTCGTACTGGGGCCAAGATCCGGCGACTCGGGGACAACCACAGCGTATCCATCAACGATGCTGGCTCGGTAGGCTGGAACCGCCTCAGCAGCATATACATCTTCTGCAATGACAGACCCGACCAAAGCCGTGGTCACCGGGGCTTCAACAACGACCGGTTCAGGAGTATGCTTCGTAATCAACTGCAGTGCTTCATCAACAGAAAGCATCGGATATGGAGACGATCGATATCGCCTATTTGGCCCGGCATTGGGATCATTCGAGTTTGGTCGTTCCGACGGCGAAGTGTGTGCTTTCGGGACAACATGTCCATGACCATGGGAGTGGTCATGGTGGTGGTGGTGATGGTGACAATGGGAGTGTCCTGTCTGTGTTTCTGGCTGTTTGCTTCCGGATGAAACGCCAGCGTCGGCTTCTAGCTTCTTAACACCCCCTGCATGGAGAGCCCGGGAATTGGCTCCGGCCGCTTGGGTACACGCGTGGGGAAGTAGCTTGATGACTGCTTCGAGATTCTCCTTGGCGCCTTTAGGAGACCCCGGCAAGGTAATGATCAATGATTTGTCTCTCACCCCAGCAACTGGTCGAGACATCATGGCGACTATGCAAAATTGTCAGTCAATTCCTGATTCTGAGTCATGCGATGCTGATTCGGGTCCTACAGGGAGTGATCTTTAAGGAGGCGTCTATCATGCCGTGTCTTCGAAGCTTCAGTCAGTAATCTTGAATCTCGGTGTCTCATCGGAGTCCCCGGGTCTTGAGACTTACACAAGACCGGATGCATGGCGATGGATGAGAGGTGATACAGCCTACTCCCTTGATTAGCTGCATCGGAATGTCATGGACTGCCCATTCGAACGAACCTCCGGAGTGTTATCCTTCACTGCAAACCCAGTGCCACCACTAACGAGGATCAGGTTTACCCAATCTGGTCCATCTGCCCAGTTACAGATGGCTCGTTGGATCTCCAGCACATTATCGGGTACGATCTTGGTAACCGGGTTCTCCCAGCTGCTCGATCCCTCGGACGAAAATAAACTCGTAAGGGTATCAGCGACTCGGTCTGTTGATGGGTCCTGAGAGGCCGTGTCCGACACGATGAGAATCGCTGGTTTAAGCCGGGTGTCTGCCATGGTGGATGGAGGTGATAGAGTGAGGGGCTGCGGGTTGCGGTGCGGGGAGGTTATCTACTATTTATATATCCGCCATATGCAGGCGGCCTTTCCGAACACCACCTTATCTAAAACGCCCCATCTCTTTGTGCTGATAAGACAGAAATATCGTGTAATTGCATTCAAATATTTAGTACGTCCGTTATCCTCGACGCCTGTTACTGTACACCCCTTCTTCAAACATCATAGCAATTTCGCGGGAAGATGGACGCTATTCACGCATACCCAAGACTCTACAGTTCAAGTCGAATCCATACGCCTCAATGCGGTATATAAGAGAACATCAGAAGAAAGTGAAGCTTAAGAAAAATCCAAGTCATACAAATGGTTTCCACCCCGGTTGGTCTAGTCTTCTCTCAGAGAAGAAATGTTTCGCCTCCCACTCTAGGCTCCAAAATCGGTCGCCTTTCCTGCTATCAGGAGCCCGACGATAAGGCCGAAGAGACCGAGGACAGAACTGAAGATCTCAATAACGAGGATCTTGACGAAGCTGTAATGAAAGCAATTAGCGTTTTGCGTCTCGGTGAGGGAGGGGGACGGAACGAACAGGGTAGCGTCAGCAGCATCGGCCAGGGCCGCACCACTTCCATTCATGCCGACGGAAACACCGCAAATCAGGTTGCATGCGCCCACCGTGAGACCACCCCAGAAGAGCCCGTAGCCGGTGTAGTAGCTACCGCCCGACATGAGCTCCTCCTGGTCCACAAGGTTGAGCTTCGAAGAGAACACAATAGCCATGATGACTCCGTAGATGGCAACGACTTCGCAGAAAATAATCGAAATCAGGTTCTTGGTCCGAATTCTAGGCGCCTTGACACCACCGCCGACAATCGAAGAGCCCGTCAGGAAGATACCCCTATAGATCCTAGTGAGTGACCGCGCGAGGAAATTGACGGAATTGGTGGTGACGAGTATTACCATGCTGCTCCTACAACCGACAGACCGATGCACATCGCAATACCAAGGTTCGCCCAGGCGTACGGGGACACGGATTCGAGAAATTGGCCGACCTAAGATCGTATTAACGACGGTCCGACAGCAGCGGAGAAGGGGGTAAAGGTGCGAGAAGACGCCGATCGTACATTGAATTGTTCGCCATCGCCATGGAAGAGCATGTCTGAAAGCAAGCAAGTATTAGCAGAGTATAATCCCAGCAGCATCGATAATGAGATCACTCACATCCTCCTATCACCAGGAGTGACACGGTAGCAGTACTGGCAGGGTAGAGGAGACCCATGATGACCTCCAACCTAGAACACAACCTGCAAGCTGGAGGGTGAAATTATCCAACAGACGGGGCCTCGGGAGGCTTAAGGACAAATCGAGGGGGAGGGAAAGAAAGGCCGATGAAGCAAGCTCCTGGGCGGATCAGCATCACCGTCTCTGCTCGACTTGGGACACGACTCGCCGGTCGGGCCGGAGTTAATCCGCGCAGGCGGCGGCGGAGTTGCTTGTCAGTTCATACTGTTTCCCCGGACGGACCCATGGGTCAAGCTCACTCCCAGTCGCCCTCTAGAACCCCTCGTGCGCCTGATCTGGTCGCATTCTACGCCTTGTCCCTCCTCCATATCCCTCTTTCGACGCCATTGTATCCTTAGCGCCCTTCTCGGTTCATCCTCGCACCGCCCGCTAATCCATATATTGCTTCCGCCTCGTGCTACTACTTAGTACTACTACTACCCCTGATCCTGTTAATTCACCACCACCCAGTCCTCAGTCGCCATGGCAGCCTCCGGAGTCGGGTCGTATTCGAACCCGTTGAAGAAGTTCAAGTATGTTTTGAGTGTTGGTCCGAACTATGATTTACATTGGTTACTAAGTGGGCTGTAGGTTGGTGTTCTTGGGAGAGCAGAGCGGTATGAACACATGTCCACCCACCCAGCGGTTCACTTCGTTCTCGGCCGTGAGCCACAGGGATCGAGATATCTAACAACCGGAATACAGTCGGGAAAACGTCTCTAATCACGCGGTTCATGTACGACTCGTTCGACAACACATATCAAGCAACTATCGGAATTGACTTCCTCTCGAAGGTATGCCGCAACCACGGGCGACAGCTTTCACGTCATACTATGCGCCCTTACGTGGAGTCATTGTATCTAACCCGGAAATTCTTCTAGACTATGTACCTGGAGGACCGAACGGTTCGACTGCAACTTTGGGACACTGCTGGTCAGGAGCGATTCCGGTCCCTTATTCCTTCCTACATTCGTGATTCGAGCGTTGCGGTCGTCGTTTATGATATTTCGAACGCCAAATCTTTCCAGAACACCCGGAAATGGATCGATGACGTGCGGGGAGAGCGTGGAAACGATGTGATTATCGTGTTGGTGGGCAACAAGACCGATCTGAACGATAAGCGAGAAGTTACGACGGCACAGGGTGAAGAAGAGGCGAAGAAGAACGGCCTTATGTTCATCGAAACCAGTGCCAAGGTCGGCCACAACGTCAAGCAGCTTTTCCGAAGGATAGCCCAGGCTCTACCAGGAATGGAGGGCGAGGCGAACAAGGGAGAGAACAACAGTTCGTGCCATTACAATCCTCGGTTGTCATATCTAAAAGCTAACCCTTGTCTTTTTTTAGTGATTGACGTTAACATTAGTCCCAAAGAGACCACGAACAATGACGGATGTGCCTGCTAGCGGTTGTATTTTACCCGGTCTTACCCTCCACCCTTTTCGCCATATTGCTCCCCCGAATCTCAATGATGAGGCTTGAGACTGTTCATAATGCGCTGCCATTTTTAAGATGTACATTTTCCTTCCTTTACTTTTTCAGGTGATAGCGTGTTTAGAGCAAACTTTATTCTAAATGTTCTCTCTTTCACCGTTCTTTCTTCTATTTTTGCTCATGGCTCGAGTGCCATCCTTTCTTTTAATTATGAGGGAGATCAGGTGATTTCTGTTTGCCGCGTGTTCCAGCATCCAATGTGTTCTCCCTCGATGGCCATTATAGTCAGGTTCTCACACAGGACCGTCCGATGTTGACTGCGATCATCGAATATCTACAGTCTGATCTTGGTAGGAATGGCCGGGTTTTTATTGATATTGCTAGGGGGCGGCTTTAACATCCCCGAATGGGACACCTATCAGATGTGGTTGTAATGTACTCCGGGCACCACTGGGAGACTCCATTTCCAGTTTAGAGTCGGCCGCAATACAGGTTTAATACACCTTCGTCGAGGCCAGGAAGAAGATATGCCACGAAATCAGCGCACTACTTAATAGTGCGACATCAGCCGAGGCTATATCTGTTAAGGGTGATGATAATTAAAGGGCCCGAGGTACGGGACGTGGGAACTGTGTGAACTTTGTGAATTTCTGTTGTTCAACTGATCGAGATAAACAATTAACAAAAAAAAAGGGGGGTTGGGGAGGGGAGGGGGGGTAGTGGGGAAATAGCAAACGAAACAATGATAAAAGCCTACTACTACCTACAAGACAGAAAAAAACATAGAAAGCAAAAAGGTAAGAAGAATGGGATGAACCGGGATTGAACCGGTGACCTCACGATTGCCAGATGAACTGACTGACTGAGTGAATCTTCAGTCGTGCGCTCTCCCAACTGAGCTATCACCCCATTGTTGAAATTTGTTCTCAATCATAGTATCATGAAGCAGCGCAATATTTTCCAAGTCGTAAGTAGGGATACCAATATCATCATGCGTTTTCCCCTTCCTTCAATTGCCATGGCATCCTTGTTTTGGTTTTAGTTGAGGCCTCGGTTTGCATTGGCACTTGCAGTCTTGATAGATAAACCTCGGTTGTCCTCGAGTGTCCATGGCTGTGCTAAAAGTTGGATATTTTGCCTCTCTATTATTGTCCACTGGCATTATATATTTAGATGTGCGTCTACTTGGTCCCAGATCTAAGCAAAAGCCCCATCGATGTGTGGTCAATGCTCGAACTGCAAGGAAAAGAGGTGGGAAACAATCGAAGTCAACACACAAGAGAGCAAAATTGATTCATACCAATCTCCCTGCAACACACAAGTATATTGAGTATCATGCGACGTATCACACGTCAATTAAACCCATGGCTCTAGCCACCGGGCAGGCCGGAGAGCATGAAACTCAAACCATCGGCAGCTCAAGGGAATTTGATTTAATTTTCCAGTATCCACCCAGACCAGGGACCACCCCTATGAATATTGAAGATTTAATATAGAAGCCACGGTCCATTGACAATCTAGTACGGAGTAGAAATTCAATAGCACTCCGTAGTTGCCCCCCGTATTCGTACCTCGTACCAGGCACCCTTGTGAGAGAAGATGAAATGAATCCCACGTCATGAAAGGGCAGCGATCGGCAGGCGGATCGCCCGGAAAATGGCGCCCCTTTGCGGCTACGATTGGCCCATGGTCGGCCCCCCCAAAGCGCCAGCCTCTTCTTCCTTCTTTCTCACCCCTTCTGACATCGCCTTCCATTCCTTTTCCTATTTCTGCTCTCGTGCCATTATCACCGATAAACCCCCCTCCGTCGGCGATATCAACATTGTAAACATGGGGTTGTCAACCCGTCTCCTCCGCATCCCGCGGCCAGAGGTATGTCGCCGTCCTGAGCCCTGAAGAAGAAAATTCTGGGCCCTTATCATCACCCTTGCCCGTTCCATCCGGTCGCTCGTGGGCGCTAACGATGACGCCTGGGTCGCGCTACAGACATTCCTCTATGTGATGAGCCTGCGCACCGGCGCTGCTCTGATCACTCTATCTCTACTCCTCAACAAAATCAGCGGCCTCTACGGTCTCCTGGCCCTGCTGACCGGCTATCACCTCTCCCCCGTTCAACTGTCCATGTACATCTACTCCCTAATCGCCCTCGGCCTTGCGACGACACTTTTCCCTCACATCCGGAAACAATCCCCCCTACAATGCCTCGCCCTCGCCTATCTCTACGTGTTCGACAGCCTCATCAACGCTGCCTACACCGCAGCTTTCGGCGTGACGTGGTTCCTGGTCGTCTCCCAGCACTATGAGAACGGCACCGTGTCGGGACCTGGTAGCGAGACGATCGCTCAAACTGCCGGCTTCACCAGCCCCAAATATGGCGATTCATCCACCGAGTCCACCGAATCCACAGGTGCCAGCCACTACGCCAGGAGTTCCGAGGGCTTGAGCAACGCCGTGACTCAACCGGAAAGCTTCCAGAGTATCGTCTTCATTTGCACCCTCTGGGTCGTCCGTGCCTACTTCGTGTTCGTGATGCTCGCGTTCGCTCGCCAAGCTCTGCGCATCTACATCGCCGTGCCTCGCCACACGCAACTGCCCACCCACAGCCGCAACACGTCCAACGCCAGTGTGGCTAGCGTGGCTGACATCGATCGGGAACCGTTTTCGCCGTTCAGCCCCGAAGGTCAGGGCTGGCAAGGCAAGCTTGGTCGTGCCATGATTAGCGTGGGCCGGAACTACTGGTTGGGCGAAGATGAGGAGGGTACTAGCTGGGTGAACAACATCGGACGTCGGTTCCGCACCCGCCTCGAGAACACCGAGCTCCCCGGACCTCTGGAGCGTGAGAGAAGACGTCGCTCTGGTACCGGCCCCCCGCAGCCCTCCCAATCTGCCGTCCAGGCCGCCGCCTTGCAGCAACCGATCTACGAACAAGCCCCGCCGGGAATGAACGTCAAGATGCAAGACTGGACCGAGCCCCGGTGATTTGGTCCGCTCGAAACACCTATCATAGGCCCCCCCACCTACTCATGGTCCGGCTGACTGGTGAACCCTGCTTGATAGGACACTCCATTTCATCTTGTTGCCAAGATCTTGAGGGTGGTCATGCGCTGGCTTGTAACTTATAAGAAGTGGATGGTCACTATGCTTCTTTCAATCGGCCCCGTCCCGGAGACAAGAGAGAGGCCTCAGGCCCGTTGCCTCTCCGTTGCGTGATACACACAGCCCGTTATTATTTTCCTTCGTTCCTGTTATTATATATGGCGAGATGATCTACATACCCTGGTTACGAGTCAGACAGTTGGAAAGGACGGGCTGAATTGGCGGCGTTTTCTTTTTTGACACCCTTTCCTTCCGTTGCTTATTGCATAGTAGACTCTTTGTGGATGAGGCGTGGGCTCGCCGTTCGCATCCGGGAGAAGAAGTACACAAAGGTGTGCGCACCACATTGCCTGGGATCATAATATCTTTGCGTCCCTGCCTAGGCCTTAGTCTAGCATTGGAGCATGTACATTGGTAGTGATTGATATGGGACGGTTGCTTCATAACGGCGTCATTAGGGATCCAATTTTCTTAATCTGCACCTATTTTGCATTTGCATAAATCTTTTGGTGATCACCAAGTTCATTTTTGGGAGAACAGGAATGAATCAAGAGTATAGACAGAGGTTCCCCTGCCGAGACCGCAGCCCTTCTCGCCCGAGTCAGGCTCCGGGAGCACGTGGTTCCGGAGGGAGGACAAAAGCCGGCAGAGCAGAAGCTTGAGCAGTGAGCACTCTTAGCAGGCCCAGCCTTAGAAGGCCAATCACGGGAATGGCAATCCAAGCAGCAAACGCAGCAAACCGAGCAAAAGCCGAGCGCTGACGTGCTCGACTGCCAGTCACGGGACTTGCACGCCTTACTGGAAAAGGCATGTTTGCAGACCCTGCCCGCCGCAGTTTGCATCGATGTCGTGATCGCAGACCAATAAGAAGACTGCTGATCCATCCCCGATGGCGGAGATTCACCTGAAAGTTCAATGGAGAACTAAACCGCCGCTTCGCTGGTAGACTGTGATCGCACCAGAGAAAAAAAAAGGGGAGACGGGAAATTGTTCTAAGCTAAAATTTCCATGTCTTCTGCGTCGTGATCCGTGATCTTCTTCTCTTCTTTTCCACATCTCCATACCCTATCCTCCGCTGAATTTGAATCGGGTGGGGAGTCACCGTCTGCGGTGATATCCAGTTCTAGAAGTTACATCCCACCTTCCGGCGCCGTGAATAGCGCTGTCGGCAATTGTCAATATGGCGACCGTTCCCACCGCTGGAGAAGCCGGTATGTCTGCACTGAACGCTCATTTCCTTATTTAACGCTTTCTTTTGTCCTTTCACGTTATTTCTGGGTCTTCTTCATTCGGGACTGTATTGTTGCACAGATACTGATGATTCATCGGTTCGTTCAGTGGCGAGAATTGCCTATCTGGCCAGCGACGTCGTTCTCTCTGTCCAGCCCTCTCTGAAAGCAGACTCCCTGTTCAGCAAGTCTCTCAAGGTTCTCAATGCGACCAAGGCCCAGAGTCTGCTGTCGCAGCATGTGACAGATGTAAGTGCCCGAAGAAACCGCGGGGTACAGTCTCAATGAGTGGTCGCTGACAATTGCCGTAGGTGGTGACCGTTCGATATAACGAAGATCCTCTTCTTTCAGCCTTCCACCCGCTGCAGGGAGGCAGAACGGTCTCCGTTGTCACGAGCTCGTCTACTCTTCTCTCCTCCATTCCTCACCTCTACCGCCTGGCGAACCAGCCCGTCGTCATCCATGTCGCCTTGGAGCCCTACCCATTCCCAGACTACTCGGTGATCAGCTCGATACGGCAATGTGGCTTCACTTTCTTGCACTCGGAGACCATTCAGGAGGCGCAGGATATTGCTATCACCGCGCATGCCCTGGCTCGCAAGTCTGGAAAGGGTGTCATCCATTTCTTTGACCCTGCGAACTCGGCTCGCGATGAGGCCATTCCCCAAGAAAACATCGATGTCGTGAAGACGTTGCTGCACTTGGGTGGAAATGCCGCTACTCACACCGATGGCCTTGGTGTTCAGACCTTGTACGCCGACTCGGGTCGCGTTGCTACTGTGTCTGAGGAGGTGGCGGATAGCGCCTCCCGGGAGCAACAGACTGAGGGTGCTTCCGCCCCGGCTCAGCCATCTCAGACTCCCTCGAGCGTCAGCTTTGACAACTCTTCCGTTGGGTCTTCGAGGAGGGACAGCAGCACGGATAGCCGTGCCCCGAGCTCTGCAGCTACCACCGTTGACAACTCGTCTGTGCGTCCAGTTAGCGCGGCCGATATCTTCGAATGGACGACCCAGATTTGGAACGTGCTTTCGGAGACCGTGGGACGTAATTACCATGCTATTGAATACACTGGCCCCGCCGATGCCAAGGCAGCCATCTTCGTCTTCGGCTCGACGGGCGTGTTCGTGGACGTTCTGGCCAAGCAGGACGTTGCTCCCGAACTCGCAAACGTCGGCCTGATCACCGCTCGCCTTTACCGACCCTGGGTTGGAGGCCAGATCGTCAACTCCATCCCCAGCTCCGTCGAGAAGATTGCCGTCTTGGAGCAGGTCCGCAAGACCACGAAATGGGGTCCTTCATTTATGGATCTCCTATCGAGCTTGACCCCGGCTACTGCTGGCGGACGCAGCCCTCAGATCGTTGGTTACCGTCTTGGATACATTGAGCCCTCGACCTCGGTCCAGGCCCTTCGCGGCATCGTTCAGAACCTCGAGACCCCCTCTCCTGTCCAGAACCTTGAGGTCGGAAGCTCCAAGGTCCCCACCATCCAGACCCCTCTGGAGCAACCCCACATTGAAAACGCGTACCTGAAGATCTTGGACCAGCTCTTCGGAGAGCGCCTGTACATCGCCAACCAGCTGGACTCGAAAAACGCCGGCGTTTCTAACACCATTGCCGCGAGCCCCGAGTATGGATTTGGTTCCCTGATCGCCAGAACGGAGCGTCGCAAGCGTTTCGCCCGGGAGGTCGAGGAGGCATCCAAGTCCAGCACCTTCGCTACCGAGGGCCCTAAGACTTGGCTCTCAAAGTGGGCCTTGGCTGCCAGTGACCCCGCCAAGGCCAACAAGCTGGCTGCCGATGTCATTGATCGCCTCTCGAACGATGGATCTCAGCTGTCGAGACAGCTTCTGGAATCGAAGAAACTTTTCTACGATGAAACCCACTGGCTCGTCGGATCGGACGCATGGGCTTATGACCTTGGCAACTCCGGTGTCCACCATGTCCTGGCATCCGGTGCTAACGTGAACATGCTTGTCATTGACTCGCAACCGTACTCGGAGCGTGCTGCTGCTGATGCCGCGCGCCGCAAGAAGGACATCGGGCTTTACGCCATGAACTTTGGCAACGCTTATGTTGCCTCTGTTGCTGTCTACGGTTCCTACACCCAGGTCCTTCAAGCCATGGCCGAGGCCGAGAAGTTCGATGGACCTTCCGTCATTCTTGCCTATCTGCCTTACAACCAGGAGAACGACTCCGCTCTCACCGTTCTCCAGGAGACCAAGAAGGCCGTTGACCTGGGCTACTGGCCTCTTTACCGCTGGAACCCCGCAAACGAAGAGCAAGGCGAGCCCAAGTTCGAATTGGATTCGGAGCGTATCAAGCGCGAGCTCGAGGAGTTCCTTCGCCGGGATAACCAATTGACCCAGCTCATGAACCGTCAGCCCAAATTCGCCTCCGTTCTTTCTGAGTCCTATGGAACCGAAGTCCGTGCTCTGCAGAAGCGCAAGGCCAAGGATTCCTATGAGAAGCTCCTTGAAGGCCTCTTCGGTGCCCCGTTGACCATCCTATTCGCATCGGACAATGGAAACGCTCAGAACCTGGCCAAGCGCCTGGGCAACCGTGGCCGTGCTCGTGGTCTGAAGACCATGGTCATGGCTATGGATGAATATCCGATCGAAGATCTGGCCACAGAGGAGAACGTGGTTTTCATCAGCAGTACCGCAGGCCAGGGAGAGTTTCCTCAGAACGGTCGCAGCCTGTGGGAAGTGGTGAAGAACTCTGGTGATCTGGACCTGTCTGCCATCAACTACTCGGTGTTTGGTCTTGGTGATAAGCACTACTGGCCCCGCAAGGAGGACAAGATCTACTATAACAAGCCCGCGAAGGATCTTGATGCTCGCGTTGCTTTCCTTGGAGGTCGTAAGCTCACAGACATTGGTCTTGGTGACGATCAGGACCCCGACGGCTACCAGACCGGCTACTCGGAGTGGGAGCCCCGCCTCTGGCAAGCTTTGGGCGTGGACAAGGTTGAGGGTCTGCCCGAGGAGCCCGCACCGCTGACCAACGAAGATATGAAGATTCAGTCCAACTTCCTGCGTGGCACCATCGCCGAGGGCTTGTTGGATGAAACTACCGGTGCCATCTCGGCTAGTGACCAGCAGCTGACTAAATTCCACGGCACGTACATGCAGGACGATCGGGATGTTCGTGATGAGCGCAAGGCTCAGGGTCTTGAGCCAGCCTACAGCTTCATGATCCGTTGCCGACTTCCGGGCGGTGTTGCTACTCCCTCTCAGTGGCTGCAGATGGATGCCATCAGCAGCTCGTGTGGTAACGAGACCATGAAGCTTACGACGAGACAGACCTTCCAGTTCCACGGTGTCATTAAGCGCAACCTCCGTACCGCCATGCGTGCTATCAACAAGTCGTTGATGACTACCATTGCTGCCTGTGGTGATGTGAACCGAAACGTCATGTGCAGTTCGCTCCCGGAGCTCTCTGCCTATCACCGCGAAACGCACGCTGTTGCGCAGAAGATCAGCGATCACCTCCTCCCGTCCACGACCGCCTATCACGAGATCTGGCTGAAGGACGACGACGACAAGAAGGTTCAGGTTGCCGGAGATGCCATTGTTGACCATGAGCCGCTCTACGGACCCACCTACCTGCCCCGTAAATTCAAGATCACCATCGCCATTCCTCCTCACAATGACACCGATGTCTACGCTCACGATATCGGGTTGATTGCTATCAAGGGCGCTGATGGACACCTGGAAGGTTTCAACCTTCTTGCTGGTGGTGGTATGGGTGCTACCCACAACAACAAGAAGACCTACCCTCAGACTGGCCGCATGTTCGGATATGTGCCCGCTGACAAGGCTCATATCTTTTGCGAGAAGATCATGCTTGTCCAGCGTGATCACGGTGATCGCAAGAACCGCAAGCACGCTCGTCTAAAGTACACCATCGATGATCTGACTGTTGAGGGCTACAAGGAGAAGGTTGAGGCCATCCTTCCCGACGGTCTACGGTTTGCCGAGCCTCGCCCGTTCAAATTTGCCTCGAACGTCGACACTTTCGGCTGGCAGAAGGACGAGAAGGGTCTCAACCACTTTACGTTCTTCATCGAGAACGGTCGTATCGAGGATACTGCGGAGTTCAAGATGCGCACCGGTCTGCGTGAGTTGGCGTCTCTTGACAAGGGCGAGTTCCGCCTCACCGGAAACCAGCACCTGATCATTTCCAACGTCAAGGATGAGGATCTTGCCCCTATCAAGGAACTGATGGCCAAGTACAAGCTGGACAACACCGCTTTCAGCGGCATGCGTCTCTCGTCTTCTGCCTGTGTCGCTTTCCCCACTTGCGGTCTCGCAATGGCCGAATCCGAGCGTTACCTGCCCGTCCTCATCTCCAAGTTGGAGTCTACTCTCGAGGAGGTGGGCCTGGCCTCGGACAGCATTGTGATGCGTATGACGGGTTGCCCCAACGGTTGTGCTAGACCTTGGCTTGCCGAAGCCGCCTTCGTCGGTAAGGCATATGGCGCGTACAACATGTACCTGGGTGGTGGCTACCACGGACAGCGTCTGAACAAGCTCTACCGTTCTTCCATCAAGGAGGATGAGATTCTGGATATCATGAAGGATCTTCTCCGGAGATACTCGCGTGAGCGCAACACCGAAGGAGAAGAGCCCGAGCGATTCGGAGACTGGTGTATCCGCGCCGGCGTGATCAAGGCGACGACCGACGGACAAAACTTCCATGAAGGAGTAAGTTCATGACGCTCTCCCCCGATTTTCCCAACGCATATCTAACCAACGCTCCTATAGGTTGCCGAAGATGACGAGGACGAGGAGTAGAGAAGTCGAAAAGAAAAAAAGATTCTGTTTTAATGTTGGACATGTCAATTCTGATGCTATGACCATCTATGTTTTATGCCTCTTTGCATTGCTGTGATTTAGATTGAATGTTTCCCTTCCTAGTGGACATATTTTGGTGTCCTCTTTATCATGACCCTGATGCCTGCATTTCGTCTGTACATACCGCGGGTGCCCAAAATATGCTTGCATTTTTTACATGCTGTGTTGTAATCTGGACTTTGGATTAATTGCAGTGGCTTAGCTGCTGATATGATCTTCGATTTAGTCGACATACACAATGTAAATTTCTCTCCAAATATTTGAATTCTAGATAAATTCGCACCTTTGATGCGAAAGACACTCAAGGGTGTAGATAGGCTACTGCTATGTAAACCCTAAATGGCAGGCGGTGTGGACTGATAGGCAGATTCTGCCCCCGCTTATCAAACATTACTCCGCCATCTTCGCCGATAAAAAAAAAGACAGAAAAAAAAAGGCTTCATTTGCTTGGAACGCATTTCCTGTCAGTTCAAACTGACAATCTGTTTGAATTGAAAACCAGTCCCTCAATGGCATCTTACTTATAGCAAAATATTTAATAATTCTTCTTCCTATTCTTTCATCTCCCCAAACCGCACACATGGATCCCGAATCCGACGACCCCGTCATCGCATCCTACGACGTCTTCCTTACCGACTCCGAAATCTCTCGCTACGTTCTCCAGTACCTCGACCGACCGACCGACGACGCCTACGATGACCGCCACGGCCAGAAACCCGCGTCGTTTCGCATGAAGCAGAAGACCGGCCTCGTGGAAGTGGACGTCCCGATCAACACGCGCGTGAACTATGATGTCAACAAGGGTCTGCGGTACGGAGATGCGTTGAAGAAAAGCCGCAGTGCGCGCGAGGGAGGCGCGTTTGGTATGGCGGGCGGGTTTAGCACCGGGGGCGCTGGAGGGAAGGTGAAGATGGAGGCAAACGCGGACGTCGAAATGGGTGGGATGGGCGGTCCCCAGGAGACGGCGTCTTTGTTGCGGATGCAGACCCTGGGTGGGCGGATTCGGAGTCCTGAGACGGGTGATCCGGTTTATATGCTGGCTGCTTTTCGGGGGAGTGAGTTATTCCTTGCTTCTTTTCCTTGTTTTGCCACAGAGGGTTTTACTGTGTTTGGTCATCTGGAGTGCTAACGATCGGAACAGAGAATCTGCACCTTTCTCCCGTCTCTGCCGTGGTTCAATTACATCCTCAACTACATCATCTCGATGCCCTAGACGAAGTCCCGACTAAGGGTAGGGGTGGGAAGGGTCGAAAGGACGGCGAAGAGGAGCGCCCGGCCGAAAGTGAAGCCCGCGCCATCGATGTGAAAATCAAGGCGGCCGAGGACAGCGAGGGAGCCATGGTTGCTGGCAATCTGAACCTTCTGAAGAAGATGCAGGATGAGAAATGGAATTCCTACGACTGGGTCGATGCCGAGGTGAGATTGCCCCGTTGATACTGATTATATTCCATGTGCATGACTCTGGTGATGAGATGTTATACTAACTCGCTGCTGTTTCGTATAGACCGAGGAATCGTGGCACGTCTATGAGAGCTTCATGATGCATCAGGATCCGGAGAGCCTGCCGCAACTCGACACGGCAATTGACAGCGAGGATTATTTGGATAAGATGAGTGCTCCGCGAATCGACCCGGCACGACCGGAGATGACTGGGTGGGCGATGAAGCAGAATCGAAAGAAACAGCGTGAACAAGCGCCGCCTACTGAGGGTAATCCGGAGGGATAACTACCAGCTCTACTATCCAATGAAAATCCAGCATGAGTTACGTATGATGCCAATTGGCTTGCAGATGTGTCAGAGTATGTGCCGTAGTATGTGCGGAGTACAAGGGATTGGTTGTGCATATTTGCCACGTAGGCGCAGCGTAAGTACCGACATAGAATATGCTCGCGAATATACTAACGGCAGGTATGTTGCGCATCGTGCAGGCTATCGTAGGTAGTATGATGTACTCAAGTAGACTACTCTGAGTAAGGTAGATACCTAGTACAGAGAATATATAAAAGCCCGACAATTCAGGCATCAAATGGAAGAAATCGGCCGACCGTTCGAGAAGGGGCGGTCAGCCAATCAACGACGACAGAAAAGTCGACCCGGAACATCACGTGCCCGAAGTGCCTTATCGCCCTGTCGGTCACGCCGTATTTTTCTCTTCTCCCCCGATTTCTCCGTACTCGACATTTTTCATCGCGTTCTCCTCGGCGCTGCCTTCTGCTTCTTTACCTTGCCATCCTACAACGGCCAGAGGAGGGCTGCCGGCCGGCTCGTCAGGGTGGACTATCTTTTTCTCTTTCTCGCTGGCAATCTTTTCTTTTCTAGAGTCTATCTTAATCCCATTTCGCATATCTTAATGGTCTACTTTTCAACCTTCTTTTTTACCCTGCATACTGCAAAAATTTGTCTCCTCATCTCTTTTTTTAATACATCCTTCCATTGAATTATAATCTATCGCAGTTCCTTCAGCGTTGTTCCTGAACCATGTTGTCTCGAGTCGCCCGCCAAAAAAATGCCATCCCTCCTCACCTCCGGCGTTTGAATGGTTGTCGGATGTCGCCTTCGTTGGCGACATTGCGGCTTCATTATCATTCAAGCCGACCCAGCCCTCTTACGAATGCATCAACTACGATACCTCAGGAGCGGCCTCGCGTCTCTTCCTTGCAATTGAATCGGAATCTCGCCACTGCCACAGATCTCTCGGCCCTGGAACCGGGGTCGTTCCCTTCGCCACAATATGACCAGATGGCTTCGCTCTTTCCACACTTCGCAACAGATTTCGACCCTTCGTCTCTAATCATTGTCAATGAATCCGCGCAGACGCAGCCCCGATTTGTTAGATCGCACCAGGGCGTCGGTGGTCATGAAGATGAGATGTTTGCAAACCTGAACGTCTGCTTGAAGGTTGGCCAGTTCGAGCGCGCTGCTGCTCTGATCACCCGAATCAGCACGTTCTATCCTGTCGGTTCGTCTGAGAATCTTGCTCTATACAACCGCTATCTAAAGGCGATGGTATCGCATATGATCGTGACGCGGCAGCACAACCTGATCTTGCCTTTGCAGAGATGGTTTGAAGTGGATATGGCTGCCGGTGGCGCTATACCAGATGCAACTACTTACGCAGTGATGTTGCGGATGGCTTTGCGTATGCTGCACGGCGGAAAACGGGACAGAACGGTGCGCCGATACTGGGACCTTGCGAAGAAGGTGGGCTTGGAAGAAGAAGTTCTTGCTGTTCCCGTTCTCTCGGAATTGGAACTGGGTGAACTCTCGGAGGTTGGTCCCCGACATTATTCACTTAGAGCTATATGGAATGCTAATTGATCTCAACTCTTTTTTTTAGATTTGCTCCTCGGATCTCCAGCGCGTTGCAATTGACAGTATGCAGTCAGATGCTGTGCAGGATGAGTCAATACCTTTAGTATCGGATACTACGCCCGAGGTCAGACCTGTCGAACAGAAAGGTCTTGGCCTCTCTTCTCTGAAGGAATCCCTTTCTATGCTCACGGATTCTCCTGGAATTGTTCTCCCGGAAAATACCATGTATACAGCGGAGGAAAACCAGGAGCTGCGTGCCCAGCTGCGACAGAAGCAATTGGAGACTGATAGTATCAAAGTGTCGATGGATCGCTGGCGCAATGAGACCGAGAAACTGCAAAACTCAGGTCTCGACCTCGCAACCGGCAACAAACGGCTTAGCCCAATTATCAGCCAGTGGCACTCTGCGCTCGTCTTGAAAATCAAAGAGGAGCTCAAAATGGCCGCCGCGCAGACTAGCCATGGAGGGTCGTTCGAAGAAAAGCAGCGGGCCGAGACTTCAACTTACCTCCAGAGTATCGATCCAGAGAAGCTCGCAGCTATTACCATTCTTACTGTGATAGCTCAATTCAGTTACAACGGCATGGAGAATGGTCTCAAGACATCTACAGTTGTTACAAATATCGGAAGGGAGATGCAGAATGAGTTATGGGCCGCAGATGCACTCCGCAAGACTTCTGACACGAATTCTTGGCGGGCGAAAACCTTGAAGGAAATTTTCTCGAAGCGGAAGACGAAGGATGGTCGGTCACGGTGGCACGGTCTTGTTCATAAACTACAAAAAGACGACCCAGAAGTGGTCTGGCCGCCGAGGACGAGAGCTCAAGTTGGGGCTGTCCTGATGGGCCTACTTTATGACATTGCCAAAGTTCCCGTGGTGACTGAAGATTCTGTCACCAAGAAGAAGGATACTCACATGCAACCTGCATTCCATCACTCCTACGCAATCAGCTGGGGACGGCGTTCAGGGTACATCCATCTCAACACCGAGGTCGTCAAGTTGGTTGCCCAAGAACCTCCCCCCGATGTTATGGGCCGCCACCTGCCTATGCTTTGCAAACCCAAACCCTGGACGGGCTTTAAAGATGGCGGTTACTTCATGTACCCGAATACCATAGTGCGTTCGACACCCGGTGAAACATTGCAGCCGACTTATGTGCGTGCTGCGCTGCAAAATAATGGGCTTGAACAATTGTGTACAGGCTTGGATATCCTTGGAACCACAGGGTGGACAGTCAACAACGACGTGTTCAATGTTATGCTCGAGGCTTGGAACTCGGGCGAACCAATTGCCAAACTTGCTCCCCTGCATCCCGATTTGCCTCACCCTCCGAGACCAGACCCCGATGAGGGATACGAAGCCGTTAGAAAATGGGAAGCTGTCATGCAGGATATTGAGAACCGACGAACTGGAATGCATTCGAACCGTTGCTTTCAGAACTTTCAGTTGGAAGTTGCCCGAGCTTACCGAAACGAGACCTTCTATCTTCCCCATAACGTCGATTTCCGAGGTCGTGCTTACCCGTTGCCACCTTACCTTAACCAAATGGGCGCGGATAATGCGAGAGGTCTGCTTCTATTTAGTGAGGCCAAGCCCCTTGGCGCATCTGGCTTGAGATGGTTGAAAGTCCAAATCGCAAATTTGGCCGGGTTTGATAAAGCTAGTCTTTCGGAACGGGAGCAATTCGCTAATCAACATCTGGCTGATATTCTGGATTCCGCCGACAAGGGGTTGCACGGCCAGCGCTGGTGGCTTAAAGCAGAGGACCCCTGGCAATGTTTGGCGGCCTGCTGTGAACTGAGAAATGCTCTCCAGCTTCCGGACCCCACCAAGTATCCGTCGCGCCTACCGATTCATCAGGATGGTTCCTGCAACGGATTGCAGCATTACGCAGCGCTGGGTGGTGATAAGATCGGTGCGCAGCAAGTCAATCTGGAACCCTCTGACCGTCCCTCCGACGTGTATACTGGAGTCGCCGAGTTCGTCAAGAAAGCCGTGGCGCTTGATGCCGCACAGGGCGACCCTCATGCGAAGCTTCTCGATGGACGTATCACTAGAAAAATCGTCAAACAGACAGTCATGACCAACGTTTACGGCGTGACGTTTATCGGAGCTGTGAAACAAGTGCGCAGGCAACTTGTAGACCACTTCCCTGATTTTTCTAATGACGATACGAGGTTCGGGGCTTTGTATATTGCTCGCAAGATCTTCGAGGCTCTGGGAACCATGTTCAACGGAGCGCACGAGATCCAGTACTGGCTGGGAGACTGTGCTAGTCGCATCACCGAGTCTCTGACTCCCGAGCAAATCGACGAAATTGCGAAGGAGGTGATGATGCCGCAATCAGACATCACGGAGCTGAGCAAGAAGAAAATAAAAGAACTTGATCCGGCCAGCAAGTTCCGGTCTACAGTGATTTGGACAACCCCTTTGGGGCTACCCGTCGTTCAGCCGTATCGGATCCGCAAAGCCCGACGTATTAAAACCTCTTTGCAGGACTTGAGCATTGTCGATGAGCACTCCGGGTCGACTGTCTCGAAGCGCAAGCAACTCCAAGCGTTTCCCCCTAACTTCATTCACTCGCTTGACGCTACTCATATGATCTTGTCTGCTACCGCATGCTACCGAGCCGGACTCACATTCTCAGCAGTCCACGATTCCTTCTGGACCCATGCTTCTGACGTTGACGACATGAACCAAATTCTTCGCGAGGCTTTTGTTCGTATGCATTCCGATGACGTGGTGAAGAGACTCGCCGCGGAGTTCGAAGTCCGATATGGGCAGAACATGTACCTTGCCAAGGTCAGTACACTAGGCCCCATCGGAAGAGCTATTCGGAAGCACCGGGGGGCGCTCAACCCGGTATCTCAAAGGGCCAAGGAATTGTTGGAAGAGACTCAGAGACAGAAGCTTCTGAAATCCGATGACCCCGAACTTCAGGCCCAGGGCCGCGCGATGGTCACGCCAGCCAGTATCTTCGAGCAATTAGGGGGTACCGACGATGATATGACCATCTCCACATCGCTCGGCGAAACCGCCGTAGGACATTTGCCGGAAAACATGGAGGCGGCCGAGCGGAAAGCCTCGGATTTCAAAGAAGACGCGTTCGATCCAGCGATCCAGAGTCTGACGGCGAGCAACTTCGACAGCTTCCTTGGCCCGCAGCTCGGGGACGCTGAGCTTGCCGGCGACGGCGACGCGGCGGAAGACAACGCAGCGGAAGGCGACGCGGCGGAAGAAGAGGCACCGCCGAAAAAGGCGAAGAATCGGTCGTCTCCTACAAGGAATACCTGGCTCTGGCTTCCTATGCGGTTCCGCGAGGTTCCCCAGCGAGGAACTTGGGACCTGACGCGGATTCGTGACAGCAAGTACTTCTTTTCTTAACGGGTGAATCATCCGACCGGGCTTATGAACACATTGGGTTGGCGTTGGCTGTATTTGACGCACCGGTTTCTTCAAGACTAAAATGACTAAGGGGAAAGATCTTCCAAGGCATTTATCCGGGTTGGACCGTGCTTTTTATTGTGATCTGACTTGTATATTGGCGACAATCTCTCCACCCCCATCTATTAATCATTCTTCTTGCATACTGTACATTACGATGTTTGTTGGCTTGGATTCCATCAACGAGGAAAAGAACGAAAGAAAAAGGAGGGATGTATATATGAAAACCAAGTATATAGCGATGGGATAAAGTAAATAATAATGTGACTACTACTACTTCAACTTCTACTGTTACCTTCTACTAGGCTATATGTGACCGTGACTGTGATTGGAGGTGGCGAGAGTCCGGGGTAATTTAGGCAAAACCGGGCTGAATAGCAGCAGCAGCAGCAGCAGCAGCAGCCGATCTGCAGGAGTCGGGGAGGTGAGAACTGAGAAGGGATGAGCAAGGCGGCTAGCCCTTCCATCCATCCGGCTCCTGAGCTGATACTAAAGTAGGAACGGGGCATGAGGCTGGGGTCGAAGGGGACGGGGTGCATATGCCCGCCATGGTAGCTGATCCCGGGGTTCGGGCACAATTGCCGTGGTATGCCACACCGTACGTCTATGTAGTACCGAGAAGTGCATGAGTGCCTGGCACAGGAGAATAACCCGAACCTACTAAACATTGGTCCTGTAGGTAAACAGAGTGGAAGAGCACGTTGACTTCTCGGATGGAGCCCCGACCTGGCTGTTCCCGAACCGGCAGGTCACTGACTTTCCCCGCCCGCTGTTGCTTCTCCCTCTTTTTCTCCTTCTGCCTGTTCGTGGATACTCCCCGTCATCTATCTTCATCTTCATCTTCATCTTCATTTTCATCGTCATTTTTATCACCGGTGGGGGAATTTCTAGGCTCGAGGTGGCTTGATCGCCTTCCTGTCCCTCGTTTTCTGTCTTCATTTTAATTTCTCGCGCACCCACTAGGCCAGGCTAAAGCCGACTAAAGGACGGCCCTACCAAGTCCCCTAGTCCCCTAAATACTTGAATGCTGCATCGCCTGACTAGTCTAGTTAGCTGTTTTGGTCCCTTTCCCCGGCTTGCCAGGATCTGGGGGCCCCGTGTCTTTTCCCCAACGGTGCCATTACTGTGACTCGCCTAATTGTTCTCCACGACTCCATTTGTCTCCCGAACCCGTTGGTCGGCCATGGATCACATCTGACCGATTCCTTTTCCTCTTTCCTTCTCTCCTCTCGTGTTCGCCGATTCTCGTGATTTGCTCCTGTTACTCCGCCTTTTTTTCTCTCTAATCTTGCTCTCTCTTTGATCCATATCGTTCGTGTCTTCTACTCCGGACGAATTCATCTCTTCTTCTTTCGAATTTGGGGCCTTACGGCCCTTCCACTATTCCCCGTATTTTCCTTGTTCCCATCTCCCCCCCACATCGCTCATGGTCATCTCTCGCATCGACCTCTATGCCTGGGTGAATCGATCATCTCGCTTCCCTCTGAGGATGTCGACGACTTCTCTTCATCAGTTCGCTAGTTCCTTCTCTCATTTTCCTTCGGGTGCTCCGTCGTCTGGCATGACACAATCCCAGACGGTCGGGCTGGATACGCTCGCAGAAGGTTCCCAATACGCGCTGGAGCAGCTGCAGCTGTCGCGAGAGTCGGGTGGCGCCAGCGCTGGCAATGATGCCCCCCTTAGGGGTTCGATTTCCAAGTCCGACGACCAGCCGCTCTACGGCGACGGGGACAGCAGCGAGTCTAACAATAATCCTAATCTAAACAACAATCCCGCCCACAATAATAATACCTTCTCGGGATTTAGGGGTCTGTCACACCGGGACCCGCTAGCAGACGCGCGCTCTGCGATTCGGAAGAACTCGGCCTCGGCTCCCGTTCGAAGGAGAATCAGTCGCGCGTGCGACCAATGTAACCAGCTGCGGACCAAATGCGACGGGCAGAACCCGTGCGCTCATTGCATTGGTAGTGTTTTGTTTACCCCTTTCCCTCCCCATCTGTCTCGTGTCGCACAGTCCCTCGTTTTAGCGCTGACAGCAGTGGTGGAATAGAATTTGGGTTGACTTGTGAATATGCTCGCGAGCGGAAGAAACGTGGGAAAGCTTCCAAGAAGGACCTTGCGGCCGCTGCTGCCACCGTCGGTGGTACGGCATCTTTGGCAAGCCACCATGCCGGTCAGGATGGTGCTTCTTTGGCCAAAGGCCACTCTCCCCCGGATGGCCGATCATCGCAAGACGTCAATGGAAGATACGACCCGACTTTCGATGCCGCCCGTAGTCTTACAAGGCCCACGCAGACGCAGCTGCAGCATGCCTCGGAGGTCCCAGGTATAGTGGGAATGCAGAATCCGTCGCAGGGGTCGTCCCATTCCCAAGCGCCCCTAGGGGCCTCCATCGATGCGCTGCAGCTGAACCACTTCAATGTCCTGAATGAGTCTAACCGCCCGCCGTTGTCCGTTCCCGATCTTCGCTCGTTGCAGATATTGCATCACTCTGGCGCCAACCCTCGTTCGCCATCGTCCGTCATGCCCTCCCAGGGCCTGGCTTCTGGTTATAACGATGGCGCATACCCTCTCATGAACCCACAGGATTCGAATACTGCCTCAATCAATCAATTCCGACTGGGTAGCTCTGCGGAGAACCCGGCCCCGTTTCTAGGTCTGTCGCCTCCTGCGCAGTCACCGGGCTGGCTACCGCTCCCTTCGCCATCTCCCGCGAACTTTCATTCCTTCAGTATGCCGCCGTTTGGCAGCACTTTGCGATACCCAGTTTTACAACCAGTTTTGTCTCATATTGCGTCCATTATTCCCCAGTCGTTGGCCTGCGACCTCCTCGACGTCTACTTCACCAGCTTCTCGCCATCTCACCTATCCCCGCAATCTCCGTATGTAATAGCATACATCTTTCGAAAGCAATCTTTTCTCCATCCGACGAAACCAAGGGTATGTAGCCCCGGTCTTTTGGCAAGCATGCTCTGGGTTGCGGCCCAGACGAGCGACGCGGCCTTCTTAACCTCCCCACCGTCTGCTCGGGGGAGGGTGTGCCAAAAGCTCCTAGAACTTACCATTGGATTGCTCCGCCCTTTGATTCATGGTCCCGCCCCCGGGGAAACCTCACCCAACTACGCTGCCAACATGGTGATCAACGGTGTAGCTCTCGGAGGATTCGGCGTCTCCATGGACCAATTGGGCGCGCAAAGCAGTGCCACGGGGGCTGTAGATGACGTCGCGACGTATGTCCACCTGGCGACCGTGGTTTCTGCCAGTGAATATAAGGCAGCTAGCATGCGTTGGTGGACCGCCGCGTGGTCTCTCGCTCGGGAATTGAAGCTGGGCCGTGAGCTGCCGCCAAATGCCGCCCAATCGCGGCCAGATGGGGAGCGTGAGGGCGAGGCGGACGGTGATTTATCCAAACGAAACAATCTCCCCCCTCTCATTACTTCCGTGGGAAATGGCTCCGGGAGTGCAGCTTTGAACGTTACCGAGGAGGAACGGGAGGAACGCCGGCGGCTCTGGTGGTTGCTTTATGCGACGGATCGCCACCTGGCGCTCTGCTATAACCGCCCGTTGACGTTGCTTGATAAAGAATGCGAGGGGCTTTTGCAGCCGATGAACGACGATTTATGGCAGGCGAGCGATTTTGCTGCAGCCAGCTATCGCCAGGTAGGCCCACCTATAGAATGCACCGGCCACAGTGTGTTCGGGTATTTCTTACCTCTGATGACCATTCTCGGGGAAATTATCGACTTGAAGCAAGCGAGAGACCATCCCCGGTTTCGCCTTGCTTTTCGGACGAGCCCCGAGTGGGATAATCAAGTGTTGGAGATTACCCGCCAGCTAGATACGTATGGACAGAGCCTCAAAGAGTTCGAGGCCCGCTACACCAGTAGCTTGTCCCTTGGCGCAGGAGAAAACGAAGCCGTCGTTGAAGGGTCGCATCTGGACCACGTGAGTCCTTCAGGCCGGTCAAGCAGCACGGTCGGATCGCGCGTGAACGAATCCATCGTGCACACGAAGATGGTGGTTGCATACGGAACTCATATCATGCACGTTCTCCATATTCTCTTAGCGGGCAAATGGGACCCGATCAATCTACTCGAGGATCATGACCTCTGGATATCGTCCGAATCGTTCATCTCGGCGATGAGCCACGCTGTTGGTGCTGCCGAGGCGGCAGCAGACATCCTCGAATATGACCCCGACCTCAGCTTCATGCCCTTCTTCTTTGGCATCTACCTTCTACAAGGTAGTTTCTTATTGCTTCTCGCTGCGGACAAGCTGCAAGGCGACGCGAGTCCTAGCGTTGTTCGCGCCTGTGAGACGATTGTTCGTGCGCACGAAGCTTGCGTTGTGACGCTGAACACTGAATATCAGGTAAGCTTGTGTTTATCTCGCCATTGCTAAGCCCGGTGGGCCTTCTTTGTATTAACCGTCAATCTTTGTCCCAGAGAACATTCCGGAAAGTCATGCGGTCAGCTCTCGCGCAGGTTCGCGGGCGCATGCCCGAGGACTTTGGTGAACAGCAACAGCGCAGGCGGGAGGTGTTGGCTCTCTACCGCTGGACAGGGGATGGCAGCGGCCTTGCCTTGTAAAGCTTTAGGGCGCCGTGTGAAAATATTTATATCTATCATCCTGCAGTGTATATATTGAAGAAGGTCGACATCTGCCAACTAGACCAAAAACCTAGGCTAGGCAGTGGTTAGCCCTTGCAGTATGCCTATACGTCAACATATATGGCAGCTCTGACGATGTGACGCAACTCATGACAAATACTAATTTGATTGGGGTAAGCTCTGGACACACCTCGGGGGTTGAGAGCCTACAAACCAAAATTAAAACATGGGAGTAAGGTAGCAGGATCTATGGTTCTTTTATTTCCTTCGTCGATTCGTCTTAATATATATCCCGCTTTGGTTATCTGAATTTTATCGGTTAAAAACGGACGGATCCTTCTCTTATCTTGTCTCCGAATTTCTTATCTCTATTGCTTTTGTCCTGATCCTAGGTGTTGAGGTACTAGCCCAGACATTGATACCTGCGTACTATGACTGATTGGATTGAACCATACTACATGATATCTCGAGACAATTTAGGATTCAATATTAAGATGATCTTTTCCCTGTCTATCCTGTCCTTTCATGAGAGCAGGACTATTGACCCTTGACGAGAAATGAATTAGTAAATCTACCCCGGATTCCGAAGCGATGACGTCACCGCCGGGATAAGCATCCTTATCACCGATAAGCCCTCTTTCCCTTCATTTGCCTCGGTCTTTTCATCTTCTTCATTCTCCTGTCAGTTCTACTCCTGTTTCGTCCATCGCAATGAGTTAAACAGTTCTTCAAACCATCCAGCAAAATATGACCAGCATAACCCGCCATTTCCGACTCCTACCCTCCCCGCGTGCCCGTTTACACCCATCGGTGTCTCCCCTCAACCCGAAACGATTCATAGGAATCCCCCCAGCCTTTTTACTAGACGACTACATTCCCCGATACCAGCTACTTTCCTCAGTAGACGCGTCCAAAAAGCGGTCTCATGCATATGCGCATCTCCGGGAATGTAACCTCTGTCCGCGACGCTGTGGCGTGAACCGATACGAAGAGACGGGCGTCTGTCTGATCGGTGCTGAAACGGCCAAGGTCAATGTGATCGCACCGCATCGCGGCGAGGAGCCGTGCATCCAGGGGTTTCACGGCAGCGGGTCAGTGTTCTTTTCTGGGTGCAATTTGCGCTGCGTCTTTTGTCAGAATCATGTATGGAGAGATCCCCATTTCTGAGTCCTCCGTGAGAAGGAGAAAGAATTTTATGCTGTGTGAGGGTGGAAACTTCCACGTTCAAACCTGCTAACGGTGCTTGTGGTGTGTAGGATATCGCTCATCAACGCAAAGGATTCGACCTGACCCCGGAAGAACTGGCCGATTGGTACATGAAGCTTCAGATGGTGGGGAATGTGCATAATATCAACCTAGTCACGCCGGAACATGTAGTGCCGCAGGTCGTACTCTCGATCCTGACAGCCCGCGATATGGGCCTCAAGGTCCCCATCGTCTACAACACGTCATCGTTCGATTCGCTCGAGTCGCTGGAACTTCTCGATGGATTGGTCGATATCTACCTTCCGGACTTCAAAGTGTGGAAGAACAGTACGTCGAAGCGGTTGCTGAAAGCAGACGACTACACCGAGACCGCCATGGAGAGCATCCGGGCTATGTACAAGCAGGTCGGCGACCTCTGCTTTACGTCGGATGGGATTGCCAAGAAGGGGGTCTTGCTGCGGCATCTGGTCATGCCGGGAAAAGAGGACGAGGGCCGAGAGATCATGCGCTGGTTGGCGGGGAATGTTTCCAAGGATATCTATGTGCATATCATGGAGCAGTATCATCCCGACGCGCATGTCGGGAAGAAGAAGAGACGGACAGGGGAGAGTTCCGGCGCAGAGGAGGTGCGGTATGCGGAGATCAATCGTGCTGTTCGCGATGATGAGCTTGGCTCAGTTCGAGATGCGGCTGTGGCTTCGGGGTTATGGAGGTTCTGTGAAGCGAACGAGGAACAGAGTATGTTCCATCTGTGAGAGTTTCATCTTGTTGTATTGGATGGATAGTAGACTTGTATGAGTGTTAGGATTGAATTTGTTTGCTTGTATATACAGACTTCATAAGGGTCTGGGTTAGGAGTCAATTATAATAATCAATAATAAACATTACTCTTATGAGAGAACAGTTAACCTGTCCAAGTGCACCCAGAGGTCGACCCTTCCATTGAATCACACCTTTCTCCTGCAGTATAGTGGTGCAGTAATATCTTATGCAGGATCTTATGCAGTTGGTGCGGATGGATCAGGTGACCTAAACTCTAAAAAACCACAGATTTCACATGAAAATTTGGGTGTGGTTTTCAGTCTGACAATAACAGAATTTGTATGGACACCCACGCCTGTAAGCATCTCTCAGCATCAAAACGCTGGGGAAATCTATGAAAATTGAGATAGTGGTGCACAAAGTCACGCAGAATCGAGCCTTGTAGATTTTTTCAGAATATCACCTTTTTTGCGGTAGTGAGAGTCAAAACTAAAAAGGTGGAGTGCTGCCTCTACCTTTCCGCGAGATCGAGTTTTGGCAGTCAACCTGGCGTTGGCGGTCAGGCCCTCACCGCTAGCCCCGAATAGATTCTGCCGGATAGTTCTTGAGCCCCGTGCCGAATGTCAGCTGAGTCCAGCTTCCGATCGTCTTGTATTTGTTGACTGCTTGTCATCTCCCGAGGGTCTTCCACTTGAGTAGCGGAACCCATAGTTGCCGTTGACGATGAAGCCTATCATCGCCATCCCGGCCATCCTGGCCCTCCTATATCGTGCCTGGTCACGCAAATCATTGACCCCGCTTGGCCTGGTCGCTGCAGGACTAACCGCCAGTGCGCACGCCGTTCATCCCTGGTCAGTTCCGTTCGCCTTGCTGGGGGTGTTCTATCTGGGAGGGACGAAGGTAACGAAGGTGTGTTCACCGGTTTGGGATCAGCGAAGGCCCATATTCTTGTCTATAGACTCTGATGACACTGATCACTGACCATCCGGCAAGGTAAAACATGACGTCAAAGCTCGTCTCACGCTCGCCGCGTCTGGCTCGGATGGCGGCGAGGGCCAACGCACTCATATCCAGGTGCTTGCCAATTCCATCGTGGCTTCTGTGCTCATCCTCCTTCATACCCGCGCGCTTGCTGTCTCCGGCCTCGATACCGGCTGCTTCTCGAATGGTGGCCATGCGGCGGATCTACTGGTTGTCGGAATCGTAGCGTAGGTGGCGCTCTGTTTCCCTTTCCCTCCTCCTCGATCTCCCTCTCCTACACACAACACAAAACCGTAAACACTTCAGGTCAGCTAACCACCCTAATTCCACGAATAGTAACTACGCTGCCGTAGCCGCCGACACCTTCTCCTCCGAACTCGGCATCCTCTCCAAGTCGAAGCCGCGCCTCATCACCTCTCCGACTCTTCGGTCCGTCCCCCGGGGTACCAACGGCGGTGTGACGGTGACGGGTCTCCTAGCCGGTGCGTTGGGAGCGTTCACCGTCGCGGCTACATCAGCATGGCTACTTCCGTTCTGCTCGTCGAGCACCGACGCCTCGGAATGGAATCTGATCTCGAGAGCGCAGTGGATTCTGGGTTTCACGGCGTGGGGCACGCTTGGAAGCGTGTTGGATAGTTTCCTGGGCGGGATGTTGCAGGCTAGTGTTGTTGATAAGAGAACGGGGAAAGTGGTTGAGGGGACGGGTGGGACGAAGGTATGTTTTTTCATCTATCCAATACCTAACCTATGTCATTTGGGTTGGTTTGTGTTGCTGCTCTGCATCTGCACAGGCTCGTAGGGGGGTTTGAGGCTGGGGGTGTGTGGAGGGAGTATAAGTCGTTGACATGGCTGATCGGTATCTATCTAGGTCCTTATCACGCCCAGCGGAGTGCCTGGTACTTCTGCTACTAGCTCCGCAACAGAAACAGAGACCGCGCGGCACCGGAAATCAACAATCGAGGATGCTAAGCCCACTAATTCGCGCCAGGAAAGCCGTCGTGTCGAAAGCGGATGGGATATCCTAGACAACAACGCCGTGAACGTGCTCATGGCTGCGATCATGAGTGTGGGCGGCATGGGTGTTGCCAGTTGGGTGTGGGGACTGTCGGTGGGAGATATTAGGTTTTGATTTGCCTGCGATTGTTAGAGGAGGAAGGATTAATGAAGAGGCGATTACGAAAACGATTTGTTGCTTACTACTTCAGACTGGGAAAAGCGATACTTGCATCATTTATGGTTATCCGTGGGGGTTTCGGGAACTATATATTAAAGATTAAAACAATAGTTTATTGCTTCTATATTTTATTCGAGAATTAACTAAGCTGGATGGGCTAGGTCAGGTATAAGAGAGAATGGGTATTATAACAACTGAAGGTCTCTATTCAACCTATTGAATATAAGTCAACGCGATAGACTACTAAAACGAACTAATAAATTATATAGCAAAGACAGAGCTAAAAACTCGGGAAAAGAAAAGGAGACGTCAAAAAATGAGGATCTTCCGTCTTGACAAAAATGACAAAGACGAGAACTATGAACGTCGCTTTCGATACCCATACCGCAATGCCTGATACTGAGTAGGATTCAGTTCCTCTGTCAGCATGGCCATTGTGACATCTGTCTTACCGTCAGCTCTGGTCCTTCTCGTCGTCCTCTTCGGCAATTTCTCCTCCCACGGCTGCTTCGTGAAGATCTTGTGCGACCGGAACCGACTCGCCCTGCTCTTCGGATACTTGCAGAAATCGAACACATTCTGGGACGGCGGGTGATGCGGCAGCTGCTGCGGTTGCTTCCAACTGAAGTCATAGGTCAGATGGTGCAGTCGAGGTGCATCCCAGTCCACTTTGTCACCGGGGTGGACGTGGCGATCCGACTCGAACGTCATGACGGTCCTGCTGCGCGGCTCGCGCTGCTTTTGGCTGCCGTTTTTGCGAGGCAGACCCAGCGCGATGGCCACGTCTGGCTCCAGGTGTTCGCGCTTGCGCTTCACCCCGGGACGCGAGTACCGGTTGAAATCCATACTATGGGGCGGGGCGGACGATGCGGGGACCTTCTTGCGGCTCACGTGCGTGAACGTGATCTCGTGCGGAGGATGGAATCCGTGCTGCGCCAGTGTTGCGCGTCGCCTGTCCTTCTCTCCCCCGGGACGCAGCCACTCCAGGTACGTCGTGATGTGGCGCATCTCGTCGCAACTACGGGACAGTTCCTTGGCTGCCTCAGAGAAGTGGAAGTAGGCGTCTGTCTCGTGGCCTTCGTACCAGTCGATACGGCCGAGCCAGTACAGACAGCGGGCCTGGCTGTCCGTGTCGCCGAGTCTGGCGGTGATCTCTTTAGCATGTTTCACCCACTCGCGGGCTTTGGAGGGTTGTTTCTTCTCGAGGTTTTTGGTCGTTCGTTGAAATGAATGCGCGAGCGCTTGTTGGTCGAGTTGGCGGTCGAGGCGGGCGAGCTCTTCGTGCATCAGATTCTGCATTTCCATGCTATCGAGGAGTTTTTGCACGAGTTCGTTCGTGTCGGCTGGTTGTGCATTTTGCTCTTGGGGAAAGGGGTTAGAAAGGGAAGTAGGAGTGGAAGTAGGTTTGAGTTTGGGTTTCGAGGTGGATTTGAACGGGGCAGGGTATCGGTATTTCGGTGCGCCGTCCATGTATGCCTCGAGTGGAGGCGTGATGGGGGAAACAGGCTCGCTTTCCATGCCCGAGGCCGGGGCAGAGAATGTGTCATCCTCTTCGGTCTCTGGCGTAGATCGCCGAGGTGTCTTCTTAGCAGCCGCGGTATTTTCTCCTTGGGCTGAAGACGTCTGCACCTTGTTTGTCGATGGCGGTTTGCGTGAAGAGCCTAGGCGGCGGCTACTTGGGGGCATGGCTCGGAGTCATTTGCAAGATTCTGGTTAGCAACGCGAATGGAAGATCAAGTTGGGCTATGAAGCAGTGATGTGGTAGAAGAGATCAGTGAGTATAGTATATAGATTCTATGATAGTATAGGGCGAGAGAGGGACGTCCCGGCCTCGGCAGGAACAATTCGGCCTTATATAGTAAGGAGAGCTCTTTAAAGCTTTTAGCTATGGTACAAACGCCAGAGATCACCGGAGAGTATAGAGTTGAATCCGCAAAAGTCTTTGTATCGACTTGGGGGAGTCTTTGTTCGTCCATTGTGATAATTGTGGGTGGTGACACGGAAGGGCCCGTCAATCATGAAAGTTCTCGGGTGAAAGGGAAAGGGAGAAGAGAGAAAGAAGGTCGGCCGGTGATCATGTGGGGATGGACAAACAAGGCAAACCCCACCAAACACGACAATCAAGACAAACCAGACAAACCAGACAAACACGACGTCATGACCGGGAGTTTTCTCCACCCGCCGTGGCCGAAGTTTCTCTCGTGGTTGGACCGTCGCCGGCAAAGAATGACCTCTATCACACTTGCCAGAAATGCGCGTCAGCCCCTTGGGATGGCTCTCCCTAGCACCGATGTGGCCTGGCTAGCAAGGGGTGGAATGCGCTTGGGCTGATCCGCCAATCTGATTCCTAATTCCCATAACCCGGATGATGCTCCTCAGCCTCCAACTCCGCCTGGAACTGGCTGTGGTGGGGTGTTTGCACATCAACATGACATGGGTGATTCAGGAACGAGCTTGGATTCTCTGATGCTGGGCGGACAAATAGACAAAGACAAATCAAACCGGCGCTGGTTCTGGACTTGTCTGGTTCCCTATATCGCCCGCCGATTTCCATATAAAAGAAACGCCGGCTTTCCCCCTCCTCTTCGCTCCCCTCTCCCCTCACCTCTCTCCCCTTGGATTGCAGTGACTATTATTTATTTTTTTGTTTCCTTGCCCTTCCTGCCTTGAATTTAATCCCTCGGTGTCATACCATCTGCAGGAATTCCCTGCACTCCTCTTTTACCCCTCTTTGATCTGCCCGACACGACCCTGTGCTTTTTAGTTTATTTTGTTGTCCGATAAATCCAGGGCGGTTCCTTGCGCGCCGAGGGAAGAACTCAAACTCAGTCTTGTACCATTTCCAATCTCAGTTTCCCATCTGTGTGTGGTTCACATATCCTACCTCTAGATTGAATTTTCGGAGTATAACCGGCCCTGGCCAGCCACCATGTCTCCTTTGACCTTCCCTACCCAGACGGTCGACATTGTCGATATCCGTCAGAATGACGTGGGTTTCTCTCTCGTCAATGATATCCACAATGGCCTCGACCCCACCGTGGGTTCCAGACGATCCATGCCGACAATGCTCCTCTACGATTCCAAGGGTCTCAATCTCTTCGAGGAGATCACCTACCTGGACGAGTATTATCTGACAAATGCGGAAATTGAAGTGTTGGAAACCTATGCCAAGAGCATCGTCGAGCGGATCCCGAACAATGGGCAGTTGCTGGAGCTGGGAAGTGGGTATGCTTTACACCGTAGTGACGCTAACCATCTGTTGGCTCCGATCCTAACCCCCCTTCTAGAAACCTTCGAAAGGTTGAGATCCTTCTCCGCGAGTTTGAACGCCAGGGGAAACACGTAGACTACTACGCTTTAGATCTGTCTCTCTCCGAACTGCAACGCACATTTTCCGAGGTGTCCGTTGAAGACTACACCCACGTGGGCTTGCATGGCCTCCACGGGACGTATGATGATGCCGTTACCTGGCTGAGCAGGCCGGAGAACAGGAAGCGTCCCACGGCCATCTTGTCGATGGGCTCGTCCATGGGTAACTTCAACCGCCCGGAAGCCGCGCAGTTCCTCTCGCAATTTGCAAAGATTCTGGGCCCGTCAGATGCGATGTTGATCGGTCTGGACGGCTGCAAGGACCCGGACAAAGTTTTCAAAGCGTACAATGATTCTCAGGACATCACGAAGCAGTTCTACGAGAATGGCTTAATCCATGCCAACCGGGTTTTGGGACACGAGGCTTTTAAGCTGGACGAATGGGAAATAGTAACTGGCTACAAAGCCGCCGAGGGGCATCACGAGGCGTTCTATGCGCCCAAGAAGGATGTGACTATCGACGGGATTTTCATTCCCAAGGGCGAGAAGCTCATCTTTGAAGAGGCCTTCAAGTATGGTCCTGAAGAGCGGGAGCAGCTCTGGAGAGACGCGAACCTGATTCATAGCGCCGAGTTTGGCAATAGTTCCGATGACTACCGTGAGTACGACCCCTTCCTTGCATTGATATCCACAGACACAACGTGATCCTGGAACTGCGTTCGGGTCTTTTCCCACCTTCGCACAAGTTCGCTCACGTTTGAATATTTGAGACTGGCGCTCGAGACTCGTACTGACTTGCCACTACGGATAGACCTTCATTTCCTGTCGTCTTCTGCTCTCAGCTTCCCTACTTCCTCATCGCAGTACGCTGCCGGTCCAGTTCCTACTCTTCAAGATTTTCAGTCCCTTTGGACTGCATGGGATATTGCCACGAAGTCAATGGTCCCCCGCGAGGAGCTTCTTTCTAAGCCGATCAAACTCCGCAATGCACTTATCTTCTACCTGGGCCATATTCCTACCTTCTCGGGTTAGTTGAGATGTCAAATACTATGATTAAGTCATGGTATTAACGGTTGTGAACAGATATCCATTTGACGCGAGCCCTAGGGGGAAATGCGACCGAGCCCAAGTCCTACCAACTTTTCTTCGAACGTGGGATAGACCCTGATGTGGACGACCCCCAAAAGTGTCACTCACACAGTGAAATCCCGGACGAATGGCCAGCCCTTAATGATATCCTCGACTATCAAGAAAGGGTGCGCAACAGGGTCGAATCAATTCTCCAGAGGGATGACCTCGCCAGCAACCGGACTTTAGCCGAAGCACTTTGGATCGGGTTCGAGCATGAAGCAATGCACCTGGAAACCTTCCTCTACATGCTGCTGCAAAGCGACAAGACGCTTCCGCCAACCGGTGTTGAAAGGCCAGATTTCGAAAAAATGTTCCGCGATGCGAGAAAAAATGCAAAGCCCAACGAATGGTTCACTATTCCTGAGAAGACGCTGTCTATTGGTCTTGAAGACGCAGATCCCACGTCGGTGCCCTCGGCTACGTTTGGATGGGACAACGAGAAACCCGAACGAGTCGTGACTGTTCCGCCATTTGAAGCTCAGGCTCGACCTGTTACCAATGGCGAGTATGCCAAGTTCTTACAGAAAAAGCATATGCGCGAAGGCCCAGCGTCGTGGGCTCTGTCCCATTCCAACAAAGACTTTTCGATCTCGGGGGTCAATCAAGACAGCCCAGAGGCCACGAAAGATTTCATGTCCAATTTCGCCGTGCGAACAGTCTTTGGACTGGTTCCGCTTGAGTTTGCTCGAGACTGGCCGGTCATGACATCCTACGACGAGTTGGCTGAATACGCCGAGTGGGCGAGATGCCGAATCCCAACCTTTGAGGAGGTTAAAAGTATCTATGCCCATTCCGAGAAACTGAAGATATCTGACGGCTGGGTTCCAAATGGAGATGCGTAAGGACTGATCCCTTTCTCTGCTACGTGATTCCTACGGCTGAAGCTAACAAACACGTCAGTGAGCCCGAGTATGTGAATGGAAATGGACCGGGCAAAAAAGACATCAATCGGACTCGGCCTCGTACCCCGGATCACCAGCCTGTGAGGCCGCCTTCCCGAGGAGAATTGCCAGTGTTTGTGGACCTCGACGACTGCAACGTCGGGTTCAAGCACTGGCACCCTACCCCAGTGATCCAGGACGGCAATCGACTTGCTGGCCAGGGTCAACTGGGGGGCGTGTGGGAATGGTGCAGTACGGCACTAGCCCCGCACGACGGATTCAAGGCTATGGATATCTATCCCGGATATACTTGTAAGTGAAGCCTCGGAAATATGTTCGGAGTTTTTCTTGACGGTCGAGTGTTGACTGTGCTTAATAGCGGATTTCTTTGACGGCAAGCATCATGTCGTGCTCGGGGGCTCTTGGGCCACTCATCCTCGCATTGCCGGACGAACCACAGTGTGAGTTTCATGGCGACCTCGGTGAAAGGCTGTGCTAATGATTTTATGCAGTGTCAATTGGTATCAGCACAACTACCTCTACCCATGGGCAGGAGCACGTCTTGTGCGTGATTTGTAGGAAGTGATCGGTGAGACGATAGCGGGTTGTGAACTGAATGCCATAGGATATTTTACCTAGCCAGAGTAGCGAATCCACTTGATATTGATACTTGATACTTGATAGCAGCAGGTCGGATTATTGTAGTTATGCATTGAGCTTGAACTATGAGTATCACTTTCTCTAGATGATAACGGAGTGGGTCCTGCAGCGGGGGAGCTCGCGGATAACGTGACGCAACCGTGCCCCTCATCGCCCCAAGTCCCTCTCTCGCCACTCTTCTCTCTCTTTCCCCTGAACCTAGTAGCTATTCATCTTCTTCCAATCAATTCCTGGAAGCTACATAATGTCTGTCGAAACAATTACCACCATCTCCCCCTCCACCAACCAGCCCGTCCTCACTCGGACGGGCGTCACTGCCGACGAACTACAGCAGATTCCACAGCTCGCCCAGGAGGCGTTCCGATCATTCTCTCAGTCGACTACGCTGGAACAGCGTCAGGAAATCGTCACCCGCGCATTGGACATCCTCGAGAAGAAGAAGGATGAGCTGGCTCTGGAAGTCACGAACCAGATGGGCCGGCCCATCGCCTACACCGGCGTGGAAGTCATGACGGCTATCAGGCGTAGCCGGTACCTGACAAAGATCAGCAGCTCGGTCCTCGGGAAAGAGGGCATCGTGCCCGGGGAGGAAGAGAAGGGATTCAAACGCTTCATTAAGCGCAAGCCCGTCGGTGTCGCATTGATCATCTTCGCTTGGAACGTATGTCACTTGGCCATGTTTTGTACAGTATACCTTCTGGAAGCATGCAGGAATCACTGACACAAACGTTGCGAACCGATATTAGTATCCCTACTTGATCTCCGTGAACAGTATAATCCCCGCAATCCTGGCCGGCAATGCCGTCATCCTGAAGCCCTCGCCCCAAACCCCCACTATTGTCGAACAGTTCACCAACGCCTTCGCCGAGGCCGGTCTCCCAAAGAACGTCATCCAGTACTTCCACTGCGGCTCGCCCACCACCCTCGAGACCATCGTCCGATCCCCGCTCGTGGACCACATCTGCTTCACGGGCTCCGTGGCCGGCGGCCTAGCGGTCCAGAAGGCGGCCTCGGACCGCATCGTGAACGTCGGCCTCGAGCTCGGCGGCAAGGACCCCGCGTACGTCCGCGACGACGTAGACGCCGCCTGGGCGGCGGAGGAAGTGGTCGATGGGGCGATCTTCAACAGCGGACAGAGCTGCTGTGCCATCGAGCGGGTCTACGTGCACCAGAACATCTACGACACCTTCATCGCGGAGGTCAAGAAGGTGCTGAGCAACTACCGCGTGGGCGATCCCCTCGACAAGCAGACGCAGATCGGACCCGTCATCTCCAAGCGCGCCAAGGAGACCGTCGCCGCCCACGTCGCTGACGCTATCCAGAAGGGCGCCCGTGACGAGACCCCGGCTAACGCCACGTTCGAGAACCCCCCGCCCGCCGGCAACTACGTCAAACCGACGCTGCTGACGGGCGTGACCCACGACATGGTCGTCATGACGGAGGAGACCTTCGGGCCGGTGATCCCCGTTATGAAGGTCAGCGGCGACGAGGAGGCCGTGAAGCTGATGAATGACAGCGAATTCGGACTGACGGCCAGCGTGTGGTCCAAGGATGTTGCTAAGGCGGAGGAGCTCATCGAGGACATCGAGGCCGGAACGGTCTTCATCAACCGATCGGATTACCCAGCTCCGGTGAGTATTTCCCTCCTTCCACCTTTTTTTTTTGAACCTCTCTATCTGCTGTCTGTTTGCTTTGGGAATTGCTCGCTAACGCATTGGAATGAAATAGGATCTGGCATGGACGGGATGGAAGAACTCCGGTCGGGGCGTGACGCTCAGTAAATTTGGCTTCGAGCAATTCGTCAAACTGAAGAGCTACCACGTTAAGGACTACCCGAAATGAACCCGATAACGATGAGGACACTGCATGAGGGATAAATAGACATAACGAATACCACTGATTGTTTTATTGTCACGGTCCACATCTGCTAGATAGAGGAAATCACCAGATCCATTCAGAACAAACCAGGAAGACCCAAACAAACCACACAACAAAGAAAAGATAGAGACCACGAGAGAGCATGAGAGGATGCGTACTCCGTAAGAGGGGGCAGCCCCGTAAGCCTCGACCGAATCCGCCACACAGAAGCAAACACGAATGATCGACGAACAACGCATCGGCCGGGCTGGGGAGGAGAGCGAAGGTCTCGAACATCCATCGGCCCCATTCCATCCCCATCCCTTAAACACAACCAACCCTGTCCGGAGTAAGTAGTGTCTAGAATACCTAGACAGGTGCCGTAACTACGCTGTGTAAGAACGAAGATCTAGAACCCCACGAACGGACCAACTAGCCACGAAGACCTAATCTTAGTTACCTAACTATGTGTAGTTACGGAGGCAACCGTAGGGTCGTGTCGTGAGTTGACAGTCAGTCCCACTCTTCCATATTTCCGTCTGGCAGACAGGCAGGCAGACAGGCAGACAGGACACAAAAAAATGAACAGTGCCTGAGTCTAGACCCCCACCTGGATGGGCTAAGTATGTAGAGAGACGAATGCGTCCATGACAGTCATTGAATTCATTAGAAGGTACTCATCATTCCTTAGAGCTAACTGCCCAACTTTAAATTGGGTCTAGGTCGAGTGTAAGGAGGGAGGGAAAGAGAGAGTAAGAGTGATTCGCAAGCCAAAGTATGGACCAGGGAGAGCGAAATAATCAAGTTACTAACTAACTCTTTGCTAGGTCACGTAGAGCCTGGGTCTTGTCTACGTAGTATAGTGAAGTTTATTGCTACTCTGTAGGACAGAAGAACACGTATGTATGTAAACGCATACATAGGTAATCGGAACCTAGTTAACCCAGCAGAAACAAAAGATTCACTAGCGAAAAGGACCAGACTTTAGTAACTACTACTCAATCTGAATAGCAGTAGACACGAAACCAAGAAAAAAATCAAAATAAAGTAATAATTAAACCCTAGGGAAAGTGGGCACGATGGGCACGCTAGAAGGGGGGTGGAAATGAATCATCCATCCCTTCTTTTGACGTGGAATTATCATAGGTTTATTGTTCGGTTGTTTTTGATGGTTTTCTATTGACAGCCCTGTTATGTACTTACCTACGAATAGAGGCGAGAGAAAAAGATGGAAATGCAGCTTCATGTACTCCGTAGTCTGTACTCCATATTTAACGTACATAGGCATAACTACAGTAGACCTGGGAATGACAAAGTAACCTAGTAAGTTAGTTACTGTCTGCCTTCCCGTCTGCCTGTCTATCTATAGAATAATCATCATGTACCGACAGGGACAGCTGCATTCAGACCATTAGAATGTAAATAGAGACATGGGCCGACGGGAGGAAGCGGGTCTGAAAGGAACAAGGATCTGTACGGAGGAAGACGGGGCCAGAAAAAGAAAATATATTTAATTTTAGGAGAAGAAGAAGAATGCGAAACAAACGAAACGGCTTTGCTCCCGATGCAAGGGCGAACCGCTCAGTTCCATACTTAGATCCACCCCCCCTTGGATCAGCGAGCGTCGGGGGAAATTAAATTATTTTAGATGATCCACGTAGTTACTCCATACTCCATGCTACTATAAATGATCTTCCAATAATGATAGATGGTGGCATTATATTTTGGTAAGTGGGCGGCTATTTCGTTAGCAGCACATCGGGGGGACTATAATTATCTGGATATCAGGATAATTTTGTCCTATGTAACATAAATAGAGATCGGAATGGGGGTTGACGGAGTACGGACAAAGAATGCAATCATTGGGAATTTTTCGACTCGAATTAAGTAGTTATTGTCTCTGGCTTTGTCTCGGATAGTCCCTTTGCCTTTGTGTCTGCTCCCGGACTCAATCTCCACTTTCTCTTTCTTTTCTCCCCTGATGAATGTGGGCTGGAGGGAGATACTCCATAACTACTCCGTACATCAAGAAAAGTAAAATAAAGATGACGTGCCCTTCAAAAACAACCGAAAATGCACTGCCGCCGCCCGAGACATTCTGGGCCCTGCAGGCAAGCAAGTCCATCAGGAGGCGCTTCCCTGGCGACTCGGTCAGAGACGAATAAGATTAAGAAAAAGCAAGACAGCTGCATCGGGAAGGGAGAATCTTACACGTCGCGCAGGGATGTTGCCAATGCATACCGACATCACATAGTCGAGTATGCCCATCCAATATGCAATGCAGATGCCAGATCGGGAACGCCTCGGCGAATTTTTTCGACTTTTCGTACGCTCGATTGCCTTGTTTGCCGGTTTCATAAGGGCGTACAGGACACGACTGTCCAGGGTCGGGGGTGGGCGCCTATGGGGTCAACAAGGCATGAGGCGTCCGACGCTATGCTTAGCCCGGACTCAAACGATTGTTCGTCGAATGCATGGCGAATGTGGAATCAAGGGGTAGGGATAATAACTCTTGGAGATTTGCTTGGCCAATCTGGTCGTCAGCCCAAGTTACCCTGGGAAATTCCGACCCAAAGGGGGGCCATTCAAGAGCCAGAGAACCAGCGAGAGAATGTGTCACATAGCGCGCAAAGATTGCGAGCAGCAGACACACACATAAGGCTGTCACGGTGACCTTCGTGCCACTCAATTAGCCGATCAGGTTAAGCCTGCATTGCACGGGCGAAACCGTTAATCCGTAGGCTTGCAGGGCGTCGCGTCTGTCGAGGATCTTTGGGGATTTTCTGAATATATATGACCGCTGCCTCGTCTCGGTTCCTGCATACCTTTTCCCTATTTCTTTCTTTTCTTACTTGTCGCCAGCGTCTCAATGTCATAGAACATCTGCCAGCCTTTCTTTCATTCTGTTTGCGTTTTGGTTGCTTCACTCTCGTCTTTTGATAGTCTCTCGTTTGGGTATCCTTTGTCCTTTGATTCTTCCTTTTTCTTCAAATAGACCTCCTTTTGCCATAAAAAGCGTCCGCTCCCTACTATACGATTCATTGATTGCTTGGGATACCATCCTCTTGTTGATTTGTTTTGCACCTCGCTTGCATCGGTCCTGGCTGTAGATACTGGTCGACCTGCCACTCATTTCAACCCTCGCTGCTACCATTCGAATCCCTCAACCTTACTCTTACGATATTTATAATCACCTCTCGATCCTCCTATTCCCTACATCATGGAATGTTTCCGGCAGATCGTTCGACTGGTCAAGTCTCCGTTTCAGCGCGACCCGAACCAGCACAAGGTTTTGGAGATTGTGAGTCAATTGACCGATCACCGATCGATGCACCTCAATGGCTAATGGCGAATCACAGGGACCCCCAACCAACTTCCGCAAGGAGGAGCTGCCGGCGTTTTTCTCCGATGATGAGTGAGTGCAACCCTGGAATCTCCACGATGATAACAGTTCTCTTGTTTCTGACACTTTGTTCGCCCCGCAGCGCGCTGACCTTACATAGCAATGGCTCGGCAAACGAGAAGGAGGCAGTCATCACATCGGTGGAGCGTCAGCCGTCCACCCGGGACAAGATCAAGAACCATGTCCGACGACTGAGCGTCAAAACCCATCGCCCGCTTCCCGAGCAAGAAGAATAGGGCACGCTACCTTGGCCCGCCGATGGGGAGTAAGGGAGCCTCTGAGCACCGTCAAGGATTACCGTCAGGTATACGCGACCAACGCAGGGATGGGATGAAGCGCTGGAAAATGTTGCAAGTTTCCGCATCGCACGACGGCAGAACGCCCGTCGCATGGTCAAAGCAAGAATGTCGGGACTTCGTTGAGACGCGATTTCTTTTTCGACTCCAGATTGTTATCGTTTTGGATTTTCTGTTGGGTTTTATTTATAGACGATGTAGATCCGCCTTTTGTCTGTGTGTATGATGTATGTAGCTCTGGAAGCTCATCAAAATCGTCGAAAAGCCTCCTCTTCCTGGATTGAAGCGCGGGTGGTGCCTTGTATTTAGACTTCGTCTCCACAGGACGCACCCCTTTCGCTGCACGATCTTGGTCGGAGCGAGAGGAAAGCGGACTGCTCCTTTGATTTGACAGATATGAATCCGAACTGATAACCTGAGTCCTCCGATGTGGTGCCGTCATCGTAGGTGTTCGAGCTTGGGCGTCTAGATCGTCGTCTTCCGATGCAGTCTCTTCCACGTCATGATTCCCATCTCTGCCATTATCCCTCTCTGTAGAATCCCGCCGAGTATCTGAAGATTCCGAGAACCCAGCCGCCGCGCGGGTCGCCGACTTGACCCCCTGCATCCCCACCAACGATTTCGCCTTCCTCGGGCTCATCAACAGATCATGTAACGACGTCCCCGCGAACGTGTCATCCAGAGCGACATCCTCCTCGACGTCATCACTCTCGTCGGAGTCCACCGCCGGTCGCCCACTCTGGATCTGCCCCAGACCATCTTTTTGCCGCGTGGAGAGCGCATCGGCCTCGCGCTGTCGCTTCGTCTCTTCGCTCATCGGGGTCACTCCGTCCGTGGGCCGGGCGAGGTCTTGGATAGCGGCTGCATTCTGCAGTTTTGCCTCTTTCTTCCGTCGGACGTATTCAGCGTAGTGAAGGTGCTGCGTGAAGGTTTGCGCGACGGCGTAGAATTCATCTTCGACCATCATGTAGATGTCATCGTTATCGAGGCCTTCGATTAGGAATCTGTTTCCTCCGACGCGACATTAGCCCCGGTCTACGGTAAATCGATCGACTTCGGGGAGGGAAGGAAGTCGTTACTCTTCTGATGGACAACGGTGGATAGGAGACGACGGAGGGGTGGGAGCTGTTGAAGAGTGGTTAGTAAATTAGTCCAGAGATGTCATCGCACAATCTAGGACGAAAGGGCCTTCACTCACAAGATCTGAAGAAGTAACGCTTGCCGACTTCAGAAGAGCTCAGCTTTAGCTTTGCTTTGGGAGTCGTCTCGTCCTCATCATCTTTCTTGATGTCTCGTTCTCGTTTCACCGGTCGTCGTCGCGGCGTGGTGTCTTTCGCCCCTCCGCTGGACCCTGTGAGCCACGGCAGAGTTCGTGGCATCGCGATGACTGCGCCTATGTGAGGGAGCTACCGTCATTTATTTAAGTCCAATATCCTCACTCTTTCCACGTAGAGAGAATAGATTAATGGAGAAAGTGACGCGAAAGTTGGCGCGACGGAGACGCGGGAGACTCCGCCCCGCCTCCGCATGGAGTTAGTTGCTCTAGTTTCAGGACCAGACTGGGCTACTCAACGCTTTAGAATTATGGGGCATGACAGTCACTAATCCTGAGTCATTTGATATGATTGAAAAGAAACAGAAAGACTTGAAGGCGCAGCACTAGATGCCTAGGTAAATCTCATATTCTCGTAGGTATCGGTGGCCAATCTGGCTATTCCGGTCGCAGATTTATAATACAACAAATGCCGCACGCAAGTCCTCAACGCCGACAAAACCCAAATTATCAACGCAAATAAAGCCCAGTGTAAGCCGTATGCTGAAACCATGTGGACAGTGCCAGTCCATGTAAATGGCCAGATGGTAATAAGAAGAAAAAGAAAGTAGAGAACGCCATGAAAGGATGTCTGTCACCGACTGCCTTCGCTAGACCTCTCCGGGTCGCTTGCTATTACAGCTCACGATCTTGACCTTGTCCGCCTGCACCTGTGTCTGGTTGTCCAGTTTGAAATTGACATCTTTAATAAGGAAGGTCCACACTTCGTCGCAGAATCGGTAGGTATCAAGATGGCCCTGGAGTAAACAAGTGTTTATCAGTTAGCGCTCATCGCCCCAGCAACAGAGGTCAAAGTGATCCTTGCGACAGAAAGGTGAAACCCATCCAAGTCATGAGGCAGAAGTGTACCTTAAATGTAAGTCTTGCGCGCACTTTGTCGGCAAGAACCTCGGTAATGATGCGATCGAAGGTAGAGAGGATTTTCATCGCCAGTTGAGGTTCGATGCGGCCCTCGTTGATCAGGTCATCGAGCGTATCGGTAAGGGAGAGACCGAGACTGCGAAAAGTTGCGGTCAGTGGCAAGACATCGGATAGGCTTTCAATAGGTGCTGTAGTACCTGCTCCCGCGATACAACTCGTAATAAGCCTGAGCACTCATGGTGATGGATTACGGAAGAGTGGGATTGTCGGGAAGATGATGAGTGTTGGAGCGCTGGTCGGAGCCAATGATGGCGGAGGCGGGGAGTGTTGATCACGTGTTTGATATCATGTGACCGTCATCGCGGCATTACGTCAAATCAGCGACGGCATCAAGTAACTATAGATGCATGTTCAACCATCTCACATCATGGCAATCATTTCTTCAAGGCACACAATCCCGTTTTCTCAGCTACTCAAATCTCCAGTGACTCTTAAGCCTCGCTATCCTCACCTGGTGGCTAGAACTCGCTACTTATCACACACATCGCAGAACTCATCCAATACCAACAAAGGTCTGCATGTGAATATATTTTCAGGCATGCCTTACTACCCTGTGCTAACAAACACATCCAGACAATACATATTCTGAGCATAAAGAATCCCTAACAAAAGAAGAAGAGAGGAGCAAATCAACACAAGAAAGCAACCAACAGACAAAACCAAAACAAGCAAAATCCATAAGCCAGGCGGACGACGAACTTCGCGAACGACTTGAGCAAATGTCTGGTGGCGGTGGAGCTTCAGGAATTGAATACGAGGATGGTCAACCCAACACCATGAAACGAAGTGTCCGTAATAACATGTTCCGCTATATTTGAAACCCGTTATCAGGGAATGGACAACCAATGTCGCAACACCTTGTTGCAAATCCAGAATACGGAGACATATCAGCAGACGAAAGCCAGAGTCAGAGAGATGGAACCCCCGGGTCACACTGAGCCCCCTCCCCGATGGCGGTCCTCCGATAATACTGAGCCCAGCAAGTCGCTCTGGCTCATTCGCTGGCTGGAATATGTTGGGGCTGTGTTTCCAAAAATGAGCATTAGGTGTTGATGGAAATGAGACCCTACATAGTCGGCTGCCTTAAGAACTTGGATATGACAAATAGATAGAATAATGAACTTGGCCAATCTTTGAATCAAAAAGATAGCCCCAGTTTTCCACGGAATAAGCAAAATTTGTAACATGATAGGGGGGGAGAGAACAAGAAAAAGCAGAGAGCCACTCTAAAACGCCCTCGATTGGAAAAAGAAGCCCTTCTATTATCTCAAAGGAAAAGTCGCCAACTCCGATGGACCACAGCGCTAAGAAGACAAATAGATATTCCACACATAAAATCATCATCACATGTCACTTTCAAGCAATCAGCGATGGAGTCGGCTCTTTTAGAGGGATGGGTTGTTTCCCACCATGCCCGCCAGAACTCCAGCCCCGATGATCCCACCATCCGAAGCCTCACGTAAGAACACGGATTTTCCGCTTTTCTGCGGGCCGGTCCGCATGATCAGGCGATCGATAAACTGCTGACACATTTCCTTAAAATTGGGATAATGTTGGATGATTCCACCGGTATAGGCAACCACCAGTTCCTCGGGGCCTGACTGCCAGTCAGCCGGCGTGGGTGTCGGTGAAAGGACGGGGACTATCGGTCCTCGAGATTGGCTCGTGCCTGGAACTCCCAACGTAGGTGGTGTGAATTCATGAGAGCTGCCATTATGCACTGGCGAAGCGGCACTGGAGTTCAGCGGCGAATTCTCGTTGCTATCCACTTTGAGCTCAATTTCTCGCGCACAAGCCAGTAACCCTACAACCGCCGCTGCAATTAGACCGGCAGATCGTCTCTGCACCGTTCGGGCAATCTTGCGAAAGGCTCCAGCTGTCATGGCATCCCATTGCCAGTCACCATCTTTAGGCGGCGACAAAGAACGCCCCAGTTCATCAGCTAATTCCTGATCCGTACGGGCACGGGCGACCTTGTCAGAGATATACGAGGTCGTAAGTGCATAGTCTTTGATGATGTTTGCAGGTAGACCCTTCGGCGCCACGCCATGCACCGTTGTGAAGTAGTCTAAAAGGATGAGTCGGACCAGCTCGCCGATATATCGACCTCCAGTCATGTATTCGAATGGCTGAAAGCCGGGACGTGCGCACGCCCTGTCAAGCTCAGCGTCCCACTTAGTGATGATACCGAGTTCCTTCAAGGGCGGTAGGGCTCCCGAAAGAGTCCATTCCGTATTGACCACCGTCTCTTCCGCCGCGGAATTTCTCAGCTTCACATGGCTCGCCTTGGATTCATGCAGCGACCCAAGTCTCATAGGAATTGTAGCATTACACCCAGTTCCTACAATGATGCCCATTACGACACGACTATTTGGGAGTGATTTCACCGCGTAGGCCAGGGAAGTAAGAGTAGCAACGGCGTCATTAGTGATAGCGGTAATCTTGAGCTTTGGCAGCGAGTAAAGCTTTCGGCGCTTGGTCGAGGGCTCATCGTCAGCATCCGGGCGCTTCGTGTGTTTCTCGTAACCATTGAGCAGGATCTTTCGAAGATCGAGGTCCGAGGTAATTGCAAATCCCTTCCCCATCGGCATCAAGGTAGCCTCTGCCAGAGACTCTTGCCTATGGCAGGTCAGTCACGAACACAGTCCATGTGATACAGCCGAGTGCAACTCACATTATCGGGAAACTGAAAGTAATCCCCATCTCCAACTCCTCCGGAACCGTGCCCTTCGTCGCATCCGAGGTCAGACTTTCCGCCACCACTTCCGCAATGCAGTCGCCAATCCAAGAGAACAAGTCCTCCGCCTTATCCATCTTGAGATGCTCCTGGATGGGCCACGCCTTCTCTAAGGTGCGTTTCACGCGCTGTCGCTGCGCCTTCCGGATTGTATGCCGCGATCTCTCCGAAGCGTCTGCGGAGCGAATGTCCGAATCGGCGGATTCTCCCAGCAGCTCGATGAATGCGACGCGCAAGTTACTCCCGCCGACATCGATCGCCAAGTAACGGCCAGTCTCCAATCCTGTGGGTAGGTTGGTCACCGGCGTAGGTAGAAACTGTTCTTCAGATTCAAGAGCAAGCCTGCGATATACGCCAGAAAACCGACGCGCAAGTTTATAAAGAACTGCTTCGTCGAGAGCCAGTGGCAACAAGAAGTCATCAAGTACCCGGTGCCGTTCCAAATATTCCTTTTGCGCCGGATCTAGATCGTCTTCCTCCTCGTCTTCCTCCACGTCAATTGGATCGTCGTGAAGATGATCATGGTCCTCGTCCTTGTTTAGCTCCGCACCGACCGGAGTCATGGGCGCCATATCGAATGAGCGGCGAAGATAAATAGGGGTTTGTTTAACCGGCGGAAGCAGGAAGGAGTAGAGGCATACACCCGAGAGACGGTAAGGCCGGTCTGTGCAATAGGCGATCTCGGCCACTGATGTAGCGATGCCGTGAAACAATGTCGTAGGGTGGGAGAACCAAAAAGATAAAATAAAATAAAGGAGTGTTATTTTTATTTTTATTTTTAAACCTTCAACCCAGGGTCTCAGGAATGCTTTTAAGTCCGACGGAATATCGGGTCCAGCAGGAATGGAGGCTAAAGCTTGACGGATAAGGTGCAGACGATTTAAAAGGATCGCGCAATTTTGAAGGGAGTCACGAGGGATCGTAAGGAGCTCTAGAATTCTAGCGGGGTGAAACCGCTTGTAGTAGTAGCCTGTCGAACTATAATCGAGCCAAAACCAGGATGTCAGCAATGAGGTTGCAGTGAAGAAATCAAAAAAGTTGGAAAAAAAAAGAAACCCCCAAATTAAATCAGACAAATCAAAAAGTAGACCACACAACACTAAAGGAAAACTAAAGGGTTGGGGGGTTTCGACAACAATGTCAAACAGCAATGACGCGTGTCTGCAGTGGAATTATGGGGGAGAGAAATCCTGCGGGGGGGGGGAGAGGGGGGGCGCAAGAAGATGGACACGACGGCGACGATCAATGCAGGGAGCCCTAGCGCACGTAGAAAGTAGGGGGGCCAGAACAGATGGGAAGTAATCGTTTAGTTACCTCTCACAATGCGTTAGTTTGCACTAGGAATGGAGCTTCGTAGAGTAGCAGAAGGGCCAACGGGTGGGGGACACAGAAGAGTAGGTCGGTGGGTTCGGGGCGATTATGGAAGAAAGAAGGAGAGAAGGAGAGAGGGAGAAAGCAAGAGAGAGAGAGAGAGATGAAGATGAATTAACTACAGTGTAGTTAGGTGGCCAGGATAATAATCATAACAATCCAGACCGGAGAATCTCAGAATACGAACGGTGCTTAAACCTGTCCCCACCGGAGATGAGATCCCAAAGATACGACGATAAGGGGAATGAAAGAACGAAGAAGAGAAGAAGAAGAGAAGAAGAGAAGAAGAGAAGGGAAGAAAGGTAAAAGTCGGGACCGATGACGAGTCAGGACAAAGAAAAGGAAGAAGAAGAAGAAGAAAAAGAAGAAAATAATGGTTAGTCCGACAGAGCCGCTGGAGATGCGACCATCGGCGATGTGACGCTGTTAAATGTTTGGTCGCCACTCCTCGATCTGTCCATGATGCCGATGATGCTAACTATCGCTTGACAGGCAGTTGCTCCATGCTCGTTTGTTGGTTCGACGGGGAATCTACCACATCATTGTTTTCTACTTCTTCTTCCTCCTTCCTCCTTCCTCTTCAACCACTCCATCTACGTCCATCCTCCTTTCTTCTCGCCCTCCACTCGAACTATTCTCGAATGTGACCCTAACTGCCATTACTCGTACGGACACACGGACATGCTCCGTATATCTTCATTCATTATCCAAGCCTCCGTATAAAGTGGGTCGGCATTGTACGACTCGGAGTGACTGACTCAATTCCGGACGCCTTTGCCCCCGAACACGAACCGCTGCCCAGAAACAAAATCCTAAAATTTAAATAAAAATAAAACCGAAGGGAAAAATAACAATACAACGACACAATAATGACTCGATCCAAGCAAAGACGCCATGTGGGAGACGGTGGGGCAGTTTCAGCCGACAGCTTTAGTCGTCAACATTAATCAATAATGCACGGACAACTTGGTTCGAGTCAAATGCCGGCGGTTTCCAAGCCTTGACTGCCTCACTGTCTCTCTATTCTCTAGGCAGTCTAGCTCATTTACTACCACCTTGCGATTAGGAATAGGAACCCGCCTGGATCGACTGGCGCCATGGCCTCCCCCCGCCGACTAGGATGAAACGTCCGGTACCGGCCTTCTTCCTCTTTCTCCCCGGTGAGACCTATCATGGTCAAAGAAGGAGAAAAGACAGGACCAAACGAGTCAAGAAATTATGCACAAGGCCTCTCGAGGCCAAAACAGGAATAATATTCAGCCCCCTGCAAGCGTCATCTTTCGAGAACTCCAGTCCGTTCCGCAACCCGGTTTCCGGCGAGCATTCACCCGTGTGGACTACGTGCTAAGACCGGGGAGGGCTTGAGGATGCTGGGAAATACTACCTGTAAGACCGACAAGAGATGCTCGACGAACGCTTCGACATTTTCCCAGCAATCAAAGTCGCACAAAATGTAATTGACCTAGGTAGGTAGGAGTGAGACATCCTGAGCATTGACTCGATCAACTGTGTTGTTTTGTGCGGAAGTATAGCGGGACTCGGGTTCTTCGATGGCTCACATGCGAACCATTGATTCTAGACATCTGTGGAAATTGTGATGCTCTCCTCTTTCGTGACATTCAAGTAGTCCAAAGTTACGTTTCGAGTACCCATATTGGAGGGATAAATGTTCGAACCTGTTCCAGCCGCTTGAAGTATATATACCTCCCTGTGTTTATTCCTACAGTATAACCTGCAATTCTATCCAGTCTTTCGCGACTCATCAGACATGATAGGGCCAAAAGCAGTAATTTGCGGTAGGTTCTATAGCATTGCCGTATTGCAACCGAGACAAGGCGCCATTAACAAGCATGGATCGGACATCGACCGAAATAGGCTGAATCTTGGACGCGATCATGAACAGCGGTGTGTTATCCACTAGTCAAACGCTGATCTTTTCCACAGATCACCAATAGCAGACCGGTGGAGCGCATCTCGTAGGATTCAGTCTTGGCGAATCCGAGATAGACTCCAACGGTTTTCGGTGCCTTGGTGGTCGAGCTCCACCACAATTCTGTCAATTACAAAGATTCGGCTCGTCTAGACTTGTCAGGTTGTCAGTAATACCGAAGAAGGCAAATGGTCCACAATCGAGGTGCTGTGAGTGCGCCCACAATCTTCCTGACAATTTGGGAACATTCTATACTTGCTTGTATGGTTCCGCAGAGATGTCCAGCGGGCTCCCGGAGTGACAGCACCAAGAATAATCCCACAAGACGATGCTCCGATGCTTGAGCGAATTCTCTTGCCGATGAGCATCTTAGCCGGTCCTTGGCAGGGTATGCAGCATGGTCGAGGCCTGTGTGATCATGATGGTAGTATATGCAGTGTGATAGTAGGCATTGAGGGGGGAGACGCAAGCTATGATCTTTCATAGGCAGGTTTACGCCGCCACAACCTTCGTAGCCTGACTTGCATACGCTTGTGGGAATTAAGACAAGGGTAGATCGCTCCGCAAGGTGCATAACCCTAGTCTAGCGATGTCATAGTCTGTTGAAGGTAGTATATGTAGTCAGTCAATCTCGGTTAGGTCGCAATCGGCATGCTTGAGCGAGGCAGCCCGTTTGTAGTTGCATTGCAAAGAACTGGATGCAGTGTTGAACGGTAGAGATTCTCATCTGTCATACAGACGATGGAATATCGCCGCGACGCAATTCTTTGAGGCGGCGGCGAAAAGTCTTTTTGTTCCGTTGAATTTCGACGTTTCCTGACTATTCCCCATCGCGTACCTGGTTGTGGGTATGGACGCAAGCGATGTAACCTGAGCGGAAGATGAGCGAGATAAGCACGGGTTGAAGAGCACGCAATTCCGGGTCAGAAGATCAGAGGTGGCCCGGTTCATAGTAAGATCAATAATGCTAGGCTCCATAAGACAGGATAATATAAACGCAGCGAACAAAGACGCGCGATTGTTGATGAAGTCGAGGATGGCCCGAAGCGGCCGGGGCAGGCCAGAGGGGAGTGTAACCTCAGGCCAATTCCGCAGGACTCGGCATCTCCGCAGTCGCAGTTTCGCCCGCCCAACTTTCTCTCCCCCACATCTTCTTCCTCCCTTCCCTTGACTTTGAGACTTTTTGAGTCTGGATGACATCCACCCCTCCCATTCGATCCGCCCAGCTCCCGGTACCCATGGAAAAACAACCTTTTCTATTTCGGGACGAGACCCGCTCCTGCCATGGCGATGATGTTGACATTCCCGTTTCACCTGCCTCGAGCCCGAAGTGCGCCCGACGCCGTCGCTTTGTCGCCACCCTCGCCATCATTGGCCTGAGCTTCATACCCTTGCTCGTGCTAGGCTGGTCTTTGATCTCGACGACTTCGGGCTTCCGCTTTTTCAGCTGCCATGGCTTGTCAAGGCGTATTTTCTATGGTTTCTCAACTACCACGGAGGGCGCGGAGCTGCCCTTGATGGACCTCGTCGAAGAGGAGCCCTTGAAGGTTCCTCTGGAGGCCCACGTCATGAGTAAATGTCCGGATGCTCAGTACTGCCTGCAAGAGTTGGTTGTGCCAGCCATGGAGCAAATCAGCGACAAAGTGGACTTTGACTTGTCCTTCATTGCAACGTAGGGAAATATTCTCAACCTTATTTTGTATTCCATTTCTTTTTCTAACAGCTGGCGTAGGGTCTCTCACAAGACTTCGGACATCGAATGCATGCATGGTCCCAGTGAATGTATCGGTAATATACTCATTCTCTGTGCTCAGAGCCTGCCGTTTCCCGAAGGTGGCGATACTCGCATGCCGACTATCCGCTCTCTTGGCTTTGCCAATTGCCTTGTCAGCTCATACGAGGACATTCCAGACCGGGCACTTGTACATCATTGTGCCCTGGAACATGGCATTGATTTTGATGCTTTGAATCGGTGTGCTAGTCAGCAAGAAGATGACCCGGAAAACGGTGGTCTGAGTGGCCTCGCGTTGTTGCGAGAAAGTGCTCTTCATAGCGCTGACATTGGGGTCAAGACAAGCTGTACGCTGCGGCTGGATGACTCGACCTGGTGTGTCCGAGATGGTGGTGTTTGGAAGGACTGCGCCGAAGATGGGGAGGGGAGTGAGGTGCCAGTACTTGTTGACGAGATTAACAAACTCTGGGGGGAGAGAAATTGATTCCCACGGCCCACTCGGAATGTGATTGTTCATTACGGTTTATAATTTAATGTCACGGCGACTATAGGAACTTGAGCTTTTGGATGCAGGTTTGTGCCGGCTTGGTCTCGGTCTGGCTTGGTTATTGTTACTATAGCTTATGGGAGCTTCATAGAACTGGTTAATCCCGGACAACAATGAATTAATTATATTTGACACTTGGAACCACTATCCCTCGCTATGATAGGAAACCTTTTAGCTTGCTATGTTGACAAAGTAACAAATACTTCCGATTATGGTAAATCGTTCTATGACTACCAGTGTAGGGACGTTTTCTAAGAATCACCGGCGATGTCGTTACCATGCCGGGGGGTTCTGTTATCATTCACCTGAACCGGATTCTGCTGCTCTCATAGATTTTGTTTGTCTTGTCCTTAACCTTTACTGGAAGCGCATCAGCACCAAGTTCACTCATTCTGGAAGTTGCCATCTTTCATTTCCATCGCTTCTACACTCACCCCTTCCACCCCCCTCCTCTCGTTCACGCACTCTACCCCAAGCCAATTCCTCACTTTCAAAGTGAGGACGCTTCATCACAGCCATGTCATCCAATCGCAGCTGCCATCATTCCAAGAAGCATTTCGAGAGTAAAGTAGACGAGCTTGTGCGCAAGTACATTAAGGTCTCCGAACCTGGCCCGGCCCTCAGGCACATTCTCAACAACGGAGACGAGTCGGCTCTCATCTTCCAGGCCATCCGTCGCCAGGTCGCGCTGATCAGATGTCGCTCTCAATCCCCCGAGAATGACCAGATCACTATCTATGACAGGGCCTTACTGATTCTCACCCGGTACGGAGAAGATCCACGCGATTTCGGAGCTCTTGAGTTTTACATGACCGAATTTCTCGGTATCGTTCCGATTTTTCCTGAATCGCAGAGCAAAGATATTCTCTCCCAGCATGCAGAGCTGCAAGCTATTGTGAACAGAGGTTCGTAAGTCCTATTAGCCGCCATTCGGCCCACGCCCCCTGCCTAATGAAAGCGCGCGGATTAGAGACTGAGTCTGCCGCTATCCCAGAAATCCGTCTCTCCTCTCGTAACCAACAGCCCCATCGGGAATTGAGCGACCGTACCGTGCGTGGCACCGAAGACGTCAATCCCAACGACCATCGCATCGGCCACTACGTCCCACGGCGGAGCAACGCCTCCCACGCGTCCGACAGTCAAGGCGTTCGAGATCAAGCTGAGAGAATCGTGGGAGTGTTTTATGAAGCTAGACGTGACTATGTCGAAAAACTACAAACGGGTGGTTTCGCTTCCATGACCGCCACTCGGTTCCTTCGGGATACAGCCGAGAATGCCCTTCTGTATCTCAGTCAGAACGCGATGATGGACCACGCTGCCGTTGGGGATTTGCAGAGCAACTTCGCCCTCGCCAGAGATAAAGTCGCCGAGCTTTGCGGAGGCCGAAAGCGCCACTTTGATGACAACGAGGGCAGAGATACACACAAGCGACTCCGATCCCGTCGATCCCGTCGAATTACGGTTGATTCATATCGTCCTTCTGAATATCGGTCCTAGGCGTCGGTAGTATGGGTATTGATCTCCAGGATGGTTGAACTTGGACCGGGTCGGGAATAGACTGCGGCTAGGATACATGGAATTGGCTGTTCGAAGCTACTCTGGGTAGGGTAGCGACTCTCTATTCTCGATGTATTGTAATGTGTCATGAGGATCTGAATGGAATTATTGCACTGGGGGCTCTGTGCACGTAACAAGTGACCACGTGATGCTTGGCAAACCACGCCCCTGACGCATGCCACGTGCATCAAAGCATGTGACTAGCGATGGGGTGCATGAAGTAGTTAAGTTACTATCAGTGTAGCTATCGACGTCGTTCATCAACACTTCTAGCGGTGCCTCTCAGATGCTGGCTCTGTGCATCTACTGTGCTTAGTTCCCCATCAGACATGGACATCTAGAAAATCCCAACACCCTTTTTATTCGAAGATGGCCTTTTTGCGGCCCCAGCCGACCGAGGCCGCATTTTCCACTTCTAGCAACGGATCCTCCAGCGCTCAATATACGCCGGTGTCTGATGGATCGGAAGAAGAACATGTCCCCTCCAGTGGGAGTCGTCCACCACCTGGCTCGTTGAAGCTCCAGACAGACCTTAATCTTGATGAGGACTTTTTTTCCGATGCCGGTAGCGACCCGGGCTACGAGTCCTATGGGGATGCGCGGCGCGACTCTGAACAATCCAGCCTCCCTAAATACACGGTGGTTGAGGAAAGGGAAGTTGTGAAGAAATTTGATCGCAAGCTTGTGCCGTTCCTCGCGTTGCTGTACATGCTTTCGTTCCTGGATCGATCTAGTACGTTACCGACTAGCTCTAGTCTAGCAGCACTTTCCCCTCGTTGCCCCTTGCGTATCTGTGAGTGCGGAGTAGCTAACTTCAGCTTTAGATATCGGAAATGCAAAGATTGCAGGACTCATGGAAGACTTGAAACTGTCTTCTTCGCAATATGAGTGGCTTCTCACTGCGTTTTACATCACTTATATCTTGTTCGAATGGATGACGCTCATGTACCGCGTTGTCCCACCACACATCTACATCGCACTCTGCGTATGTGGCTGGGGCCTTGTGGCGACCTTTCAATCTCTGGCTACTTCATTTGGGGTCCTCGTCTTCCTGAGAGCTCTACTTGGAATCACCGAAGCAGCATTTGGGCCCGGTGTGCCATTCTATCTATCACTCTTCTACAAACGCGAGGAGCTGGCCTTTCGAAACGGACTCTTCATCTCTGCAGCTCCCTTGGCCTCGTCGTTCGCGAGTAGTTTAGCGTGGGTGATCGTCAAGCTGAGCAGTAATGGCCCAATTTCTCCCTGGCGCACCCTCTTTCTAGTCGAGGGGTTCCCCAGCGTGATCGTTGCTGTTTTCGCCTGGTTGTTGATCCCAGATTCCCCCGGGAGCGCCAGATTTCTGGATCCGCGCCAGAGAACCGTGGCTAAACTGCGAATGGGCGAGAGTAAATCGGAGTTTCAGGGATCGCGTCAAAGTAAATTCAATTGGAGGGAAGTGGGAAAGACCCTGGCCGATCCAAAGTCTTATATTGCAGCTGTAAGTGTTTTTCATCGAGCTCGCTTATCGTGGAAACTTCATACTAATTATCATTTCACCTGTCGTATAGTTCATGTTCTTCAGCTGCAATGTAGCATTCAGTTCCATGCCTGTATTTCTTCCTACAATTATAGAAGAGTACGTACCTCCACAACCTCACCCCCATCCATCCACTTGTCTTCAACCCAGCTAACCAACCCCCTTCTCACCAAATCCAGCATGGGCTATTCCTCCCTCACCTCGCAAGCCCTCTCCGCACCCCCGTACCTCCTCGCCTTCATCGTCGTGCTCATAACCGCCTACATCTCCGACCGCAACCGCTCCCGGAGCCCCTACCTAATCCTGCACGCCGTGATCTCCTCAACCGCATACCTGATCATCGCGCTAACCGGGCACTTCCACACGCATCTCCCGACGACCGCGCACGTCCTGATCCGCTACCTCTGCGTCTACCCCGCCACTTCGGGCTTCTTCTCCGCCACCACGCTGATCATGACCTGGACGATGGACAACCGCGTCGCCAAGGAAGGCAAGGGCACCAGCATCGCCGTCCTGAATGTCATTGGCCAATGTGGGCCCCTGCTCGGTACACGGCTGTATCCCGCGAGTGATAGCCCGTGGTACGTGCGCGGCATGGCCACCTGTTCGTTCTTCATGATGGTGGTGGCGGGCTTGGCGCTGTTGTTGCGCGTGCTGCTGCAGAGGGCGAATCGCAGGGTGCAGCGGAAAGGGGAGGAGGATACGTTTGAAATGCAGGGTGGTGGTAGTAGAGGCGCTGCTTCTGCGGGTGCTGCGGGTGCGGCTGAGGAGAGTGAGGTGTTGATGGGGGGTCGTGCGAGTCGAAGGGGCGTTACTTTGAGGTATAATGTGGAGGAGAGATTTACGTATATCGTATAGATTCTATTTCATGTTCTCTTTTGGATTTGGTTCTCTATTTTGGGGGTCATTGATTGGATCTCAGATAAGCCATGGCTGGTTGATATTAGAATAAGTTCTATGAGAATGAACAAGAAAAGCTGTAAGAAATAGAAATCAGGTTCGTGCTGAACAAATGAAATGAATAAAATCCAGAGACTAGGTCCAGTCTAGTCCCACCCATTAAGAATTGATATTGATGCGCTTCACTAACCGATTCATCATGCAGAAGGCAAGAAACAAAAGATATCCAAGAATCAACATTCAAAAGCAAACCCAGGGGCATCAATCAACAAAAAAGAAAATTGAGAAAGGGTGAAAAATAAGAGAATGAAGGCGAGGAAAAAGGCGTATGTATGATACATCGAGAAGGCGAGATGGTGCCACGAATGTTCTCTTTTTCCCCCCAGCCTTTTCGACTATGCAAAATGTTCTTCAGGTATCCTCCAACTCCCGTGCGCGGGCTATACAATATTCATTTTTTGATTTTCTTCTTCTCTTTTGGCCTTGTCCCATTTCCCTTTGTCTATCCGTGAATTTAGTCGTAACCTTTTTTTTTTTTTTTTTTTCTCCATGTGTTTCTTTCAAATTACTCCCTTCGAGGGTAGCGTAACAAGGACTTCGTGCCTTTTGTTCGACATGTTTACCACGCCGTGTGGCCGCCATCGATGAGCATGGTGCTGCCAGTCATGAAGCTGCTAGCATCACTCATGCTGAAGAGGGCGGCGCCGCGGAACTCCTCGGGGTAAGCCAGACGACCGAGCATGTTCTCGGCTTCCCAGACAGCCCGGGCAGCCGGGTTCTGCTGGAACACTTGCTCAACCATGGGCGTGATAATGTGGCCGGGGCAAAGGTTGTTGACGCGAATACCGTGGCGGCCCCATTCCATAGCCAAGCTGCGAGACAGCTGGATCACGGCAGCCTTTGAGGAGTTGTAGACGGGCGAGGTCATGCCCTTGTTGGCAATCAGTCCGCTCATACTCGCGATCAGCAGGATGGAGCCCTTCTGCTGGTAGTTGAACATTTGCCGCGCAGCGGCGGTGGCAGAGTTGAAAACCCCGTTGTAGTTGATTTGCATGACTTCGTTCATCGCCACCTGGGAGTGTTCCAGGGCACTCTGGAGATGGTTGATTCCAGCGGCGGCGATCAGGCCGTCCAGCCGCTTGTTCTGGCCAGCAATCTCGGCAAAGGCCTCGTTGACCTCTGCGTCGTTACGAACGTCAATCTGGTGATATTCAATGCTGCCGCCGTACTCCTTCTCGGCGTGCTCTCTCGCCTTCAGAAAGTCGGGATGAGGGTTGTCCAGACGGTCTAGACAGTGTACTGCATTCAAAATCTGGTCAGCTTTGACGGTCAAAATCGACGGTGGAATAGGAACACGAACCTTTAGCGCCCGCTTCCATCAGGGCCTCTCCCATGGCCAGTCCAAGTCCTCGGCCACCACCGGTGATGGCGTAGACACGGCCTGCTAGATCAAACTCCTTGAACCGGGGGCCATTGTTGCCTCCTTGCGGTATCGAGGACGACCGGGTCTGGATGTGGTTTGCGCTATGTGTACTGGAAAAGGCTACCCGCGAGAGGGGTAGGAGCCTAGAAGAGGGCTGGAATGATCGTGCCGTCTGGAACAGCGATCGGGACAAGGTAGAAGGCATGGTTGTGGAGAAGAGGAAGAGAAGATATTAAAATAAATTCAGGTATGAGATAAATAGCCGGAAGAGTCGGGCGGCAGAAAGGACAAGAAAGCAAAAATTTCTAGGCACGCAAAGAGGAATAGGACCAGGGACCGCGATATGAAATGATCAGAAGACGATTGCTCTGTCTTTCGTTCGGAGAAGCTGGGGTTTATAGATCTGGGAGGAGCCAGACCAGGGCAAAGCAAAAGTAGCCGGCCGAAAGCAAAAATCAATTTCCGTTGCACGAAGGAGCCGAAACAAGCATAGCAATGAAAAAAGAAAAAAACAGAATGACCGCGTGATATCCTCGATGGGTCCGCCATCGGGATCTTTGGTCTGGCGGTGATTTCAACGACCCAGACCAATTCATCGCCCGGGAGCATCTACGGTACATGGGGGGGCATGGGGCTAGCCCATGCATCAAGTTATGCTCCATAAAAAGCTTGCCACCGGGAGAGGGGGAAAGACAGCCATGGATGGGCATTGGACACGAAGCGTACTGCAATGGTAGGGAGAATTGGGTCCATGAAGCCATCGTGACTTTCGGTAGCAGAACCGCTGAGAACGGTAAGCGACCTTGATCATTTGATCGAGGGATGACGATCATTCATTCGTGGAATGCCCCACCGAAACGGCATTCCCGAGTATGGGGAGGCCGAGAAGCTGGGTCAGATTCAGATTTGGCGGAACGTGTCCCGACGATAGTAGCGGTCAAAGGGGGAGGGGAGAAAAAGAAAAAAAAAGAAAAAAAGGGCAACGAAGAAAAAAAAAATTGGCCAGAATATCATCCGTGCCTCATTCGATTCTGTTGTCTGAATCGAATTGAGCTCCTCTTTTCCCTTCGTTCTGAGGAATGTGATTGAATTGGGATTCTGTTCCACTCCGCTAGGGCAATGCATAAGGGAGGAGCTTCTGGCACTGGTTAGTATGCTTCGGAAGTGCTGGGGAATGCCCTCCCTCCAATGACCGTCTCGGCATCGTGAGTGGTGGTGTAATCCGCCCTCGCAGGATGGAACGCTCCTGTGGAACAATCCTGCAGGAAGGTACTGATAGGTTTCGCGTTCTCGACAGGCCGATCTTGGTTGATCCTTGCAGCCGGGACCCAATCTTCGGGAGGTCACCCATCCTTCTAGATTTTCTCTCTGCTCCATGCTCTCAACCGTTTCCCCGCGTCCGATGGTTTTTTATAGCAACGGAGGGAGGGCACATGAGATGTCTCCTAAGCAATAGTGTATGTGGTGAATGTCGGTGGCTTGGATGATATCCAAGTGAGGATCTTTCGCCGCGACTCCTCTTGTGATCCTTGGTCATTTTCTTATTTTTCCAATCCCCTTTGAGACCGTGTGTTCGGGGAGGGGAAGGGAGGATCGGCCTTCCTTACAGCTGTCTCTTGGGAATTGACCCCTTTCCCCACAAAAAGGACCGTACTTTTGCCGGTTGCCACTTTGCCAGCGTAGCCTAGTTTCCGAAAAATGACATCCCGAGAATCCCATGGACGAGCCGATAGGAGGATGGGTAGATAGGCTCGTAGCATGCCATATGGGTCAGGGAATATGCCTCAAGATCCGCCAAGCCAATCAATTCCTCTTCCCTTCATCTACGGCTCCGCGAATCTGGGGTTCCCTCTCCCTTTTGCCCCCCTTGCGCCCAATATCATCTCCGGCCAGAGCAGCGGAACGGCAGCGGAATATTCAGCCCTAATTTTATTGATGCCGCAATGTCGGGTTCCAAGGGGGGAATGGCATCCGGATCGAGAGATAAAAAAAGCCCCATGGAAAGTCAAAATAAAAATAAAAATTTCAAAGGAATGCGGGCCTGACAAACCAGAGCAAGAATCAGAATTGGACGAGATCCGCAGGCAAATGAAACTATCCGTTCGGGTGGAGATCATCTCGGGTTACCCAAATAGGTAACCGTGACAAGACTGGACCCTGAATCATGTGCGTCTTCAGAGTTTTATCTTCTTTGCTTTTGTTTTAATCTCCGGCGAGCAATCTGTCGATATTTCTGCATGGGAGCTGCGGCCCGGCGACCGAGTAAGCCCATATACCGATAGACAGCTGATGAATTTGACTGTTGATGAGATGTCCCTGGATCCCCAACCGTTTTACTCGTCATCACGGTGATCGATTGGTTGGACGGTGGCCATTTTGGTGTGTGAGATAGGCTGTGCAAGAACAGCCCAGCAATTCAATTCATTGAGGGTAATACCTACTTCCGCTGATGGAGGAGTTATGGATGAGAAATCACTAGACCAGGCGAAGGATGTGTCCTATCCATAGAGTGGAAGTGTTTCCGCGACCGTGGAGTGCTCCAATGATGATTCCGGAGAAGCAGGAAATCCTAACCGCGGCATACGCGCAGAACGGCGGGAGAATCTCCTCAGGATTGAGGGATTGGAAACTTAATTCAGGCACGGAGTCCGAATGCGCGTACTCTACTTGGTCAGACGAAGAGCGATTTGAGAAAGAAAATAGTTCAAAGTGGATGTTTTGCTTGTTTGGTCACATTAGCCGGATCTGGACTAGCGGATCTGCTTTAACACCTGTCACCTGACAGGCTGACACTCTTCTTCTAGAGGGAAGGCACTCCTTGTTAAATTAACATTACATTCGTCGCTGGACCTTCATGGCAACCAAAGAGACAACAGAATCTCTCTGCCTAGCCTAAATATCGGGTTAAGCGTTATTGTGCATCTTAAACGAACCCAGCTGCCACAGCGGCTGTAGGTCCGAGGCTTCCATTGGCATTCCCAAAGTCCAGTTTCATCAGCAGTCGGTCAACACCAGCAGCCTTCCGAGGCACATAATGCTCGATGGCCGATTCTGCGTTGGTGTCGCTCTGCGGGGGGCCTGACCAGAGCCCAGGTTGTGGTTTAGCTGCATCGAACATCTTTCGTCCCTCTCCTGATCGATTGTCGTCGATATCCCTTAGCCGGGCCACGACGTTCTTAATACCCGCCTCCACCTGACGATGCGCAGCACTCAACAACTGCCAAACTTCCTTTTCCTCTCCGGCATAGTCTACCAGAGCATCCACGACGCCTTCATCCGTCTCAAGATCCATGTTCCGTTGAATGCCTTCCAGGCGTACCACTAGGGCGATGAAATGATCGACACATGTAAGCAAGGACCGTAGTGCCTTGGTGAAGGGGACATCCGTCAAGAATAGAGATTGAACGATAGAGAATAGATATGCACGGTGTGCAATGGTTAATGTTTCGGGATCATGTCGCTGATTCGCAATTTGACCGATCCCTTCGAAGCCGGATTCCTGCGTCTTCGATGATGCTGCAGTCTGCGGTCGGGAATCAACTGACGAGCCTCCGGAAGTCGGTCGCCCCTCGATCCAGTCTCGAAAGTGTTGCCAGGAGCCGTTGATAACTTCACCCTGGAAAAAGCTACCGATCTCAGACACCACAAAAAGCGAGGCACTACTCGTTGCCCAGATTGGCCTCATCTGATGAAGTCGTGCGTTGTCTCGTTGTCGCCTCATTTTAAGCTTATTTTGTCCAAAAGGGGTGCTGCTCCGGGGCGGGCCCCATGGGGATGGATAGCATTTGCGCAAAGATGTACGCTTCCATAAGTCGCCGAGATGTATTTGGGCACGCCGGATACCCAACAGGTAAGAATGGATCTTGGAGTAAGTGAAGATGTCGGAAGAGGAGAGGAATAAATCAAGGGGTGGGCGTACTTGTACTGAAAGTGATGTTGGTGTTGGGAAAAGAAGATCCTCGAAAACAATTTTAGAAATGTCGGTAACCTGCTCAAGGTCGACCCTATCTTCAACTGACTGTTGGCTGTCCTTCGAACCATTAACTGACAGTCGCAGAAGGTCCCTAGCAAGATCAAGCTCATCATCCTGACTGTCCTCCTCATTCTGTAATGAGTAAAGTTCAACCCAGGTCTCTGCCAATGCGGCCGTCACGTCGCCCTCTTTAACAGCGAGGCCTCGGAGAACACCGGCAGAGTTGTCTCTGGAGCCTAGGACCTCCGGTTTGCGACGTCTCTCGTGCAACCGGCGATCAGCATGCGATACCAACGCAGTCGCAAATTCACCACGCCGTAGCAGCAAAAAGTCATGGAGGACAGATATAACTTCGAGAATCTTTGGGAGAGGGAGGAGCTTCGAAAAGGTGCTCTGCGCCAACGATAAGCGAATTGAATTGATCGCCATGGAGAGCTTTGAAGTTGATATGGGGGATTTGAGGGCGGCAAGATACTCGATATGATCACCATGAAGAGTGACTGGTGCCGTTGAGAGTCCACTTGAAAAGCCCGCTGTCGAAGTACTTCGCTTTGCTCTAATGAGATTCAAGGTTTTCCCAATGAACAAAATGGACGACGCCGTCTGTGGCGAAACAAACTTTGGTAGCAGCTTTGTATGTAGAATAAAATTGGACGTAGTTGCGGAGTGATTGCCAGAATTTGCACTCTCGTCTTGTATAAAGAAATCGCTTTTTCCCAATACTGGGAAATTCCCATACAATAGCCATGTCGACAATTGCCTCATCCAAGCAGTCTCGGCCGCATCGACCAGGTGCAATGCCATTTCTTCAATATCCGCGTATCCAGTCTGCGCTTCTGCCCGAAGGAAGTCGATCAATGATGCACCAGTACAGCTATCGTGTCTTCCTTCGGGAAAGATAAATCTCGCCACCTCCCACAGCCATTCCAGTCGTCGCGTCCAGGGCGAAAACTCCCCGACGATAGTTGATAATGGCACAATGCCATACCCGCCAACATATCCGCTATCCTCCACCAAGATTGCTCTTTCGACCTCAAGAATCTTCTTCTGGAACTCGCCAAGGTGTTGCGTGCTAATTGCCGTCGATACGGCTCGACAAATCACGGAGTCATGGGAGGACGAGATTCGAGCTGTGTGGGTGCGCAGACTGGCATGGAGTCGGCTTAGATGGGCAAGGGGGGCGAGGAGGGCTTTCTCCGGAGGAGACAAGAGGGAAAAAGCATCTTCAGCGACGAGGTTTCCTTCGGTGGAGAGGTTGGATAGTGGCGACGGTTGGCCGGATAAGGAGAGGAGGACCTCGTGGAGCATTCTGTCGGGAACTCTCTATACCGTACGGTAAAAGTCAGGCACGGCACGATGGCACGATGAACAATTGCGGTACAAGTATGGACGAACCTAGAAGAAAGCTCTATGTCTTTTTTGGATTTTTTACGTTGCCAATATAATAGCCCGCGACCCAGTATCTCGTACCGACACATATAAATCGACCGACTGTTGATTTGTTGCTTCCATGTAGAATTCCGGGTGCAGCGCGCGTCGCGTGTAGAGAGGTTCGGTACCTTCAGACAGAGGGGAGAGGCGTTCTCGCTGTTATAATAGAACTTCCGCTAGTTGAGGGGGTAGCTGCCTTTGCCCATAGTAGAAGAACGAGCAGTGAATGGCAGGTACCGTCCTGGACATGGTGAGTGCCGTCAAGAAGCAGCCATCACGGAGTTCCTCGGAGGTCCCGGTCACGCGCAGTCATGGGCGGTGGGCAGACAGCCTGAGGCCATCCGCGGGGCTGTGGCCAATCACGGGCCTCAGCTGCTGAGTCAGCCGCGACAGCTTGTCCCTCTTACGTCGCCGACTAGTCGATTATTCAGTTGGCCGGTTCTCGTTCCTTCTCTCCCACCTCCTCTCCATCTGTCTCTAGCATCTCCAGACCCTGTGAATCCGGTCTTTTCTATCATACACATATCTGAGCGCCAGAGAACTTCTCTGCACCCTTCCCTCTCCCCTCGCCTCGTCCGGTACTTGACCGCTTCTACCCCTCCCTTAAGTCAGTCTGCACTGGCAGTTGTAGACATCACCATCCCGCTGTCGGAAAGTCTTGCTTGGACGCAAGGCTTTCGTTGCACCGATCTTCACAATTCCTTCCGAAATCCCTGTTCGTGACGCTGCGAAGCCGGGAAAGCGGAGAGCGTCCGCGGACAAAGCACCAATTCGACCGGAGAAGAAGATCATGACGGTATGTTGTTTTATCTCAACTCGACGGTCCTTTTGTATAAATACCGAGGCTCTGACATGCTGTAGGACTCCACAATGCAGGTAGATAACCCCCAGGAAACTGTGGAAATGATCAAGCAGGGGGAAATCGATGAGTCCTTGTACAGCCGACAGCTGTAGGTTACCCTTGAGTATATATCAAGCTGAGGAGCTATACTAATCTGCAACTCCTTAAGATACGTGCTTGGTCATGAGGCTATGAAGCGTATGGGATCATCCAATGTCCTTGTCGTGGGCTTGAAAGGCCTGGGTGTTGAAATCGGTAGGTACCCAAGCTGCTGTGGCTCCGCAGGGGATCATGTATTGACTATGTTTCGCAGCCAAGAACATTGCCCTCGCCGGTGTCAAATCTCTCACATTGTTCGATCCTGCCCCCGTTGCCATTTCGGACCTGTCCTCCCAGTTTTTCCTTCAGCCCCAAGATGTCGGCAAACCCCGAGCCGACGTGACGGCCCCGAGAGTCGCGGAACTGAATTCATACGTCCCGGTCACAGTTCACGAGGGTGATAGCCTTGTGAACGATCTGGAGCAGTTGAAGCGCTACCAGGCAGTGGTGCTTACCCTCACGCCTCTGAAAGAACAACTCGCTATTGCCGACTTCTGTCACAAGAACGGCATTTACCTAACGATTGCGGACACATTCGGTCTATTCGGCTACCTCTTCAACGATTTCGGCAAGAATTTCACCATCGGAGACGCCACGGGTGAGGAAGCCGTCGGCGGTATCGTGGCCAGCATCGATGAGACTGGCCTGGTTTCCGCCCTGGATGAGACCCGACATGGCCTGGAAGACGGCGATTTCGTGACATTCACCGAAGTCAAGGGTATGGAGGCTCTGAACAACTCAGCTCCCCGGAAGATTACCGTTAAGGGACCGTACACCTTCTCTATCGGTGACGTCTCCGGACTTGGAACTTATAAGGAGGGTGGTCTGTATTCTCAGGTCAAGATGCCGAAGTTTGTTGACTTCCAGTCGCTCGAGGAGCAACTCAAGAAGCCCGAGTTTGTCATCTCGGACTTTGCCAAGTTCGATCGGCCGCAGCAGCTGCACATTGGTATTCAGGCACTTCATAAGTTCGCGGAAGCTCACGATGGCCAGCTTCCTCGCCCTCACAATGAGAGCGATGCCGAAGAAGTTTTGAAGCTCACCAACGATCTGGCGTCGAGTCAAGAAGAAAAGGTCGAGTTGGACGAGAAAATCATCAAGGAGCTCAGCTATCAAGCTCGCGGTGACTTGAACCCCCTGGCAGCGTTCTTTGGTGGTATTGCGGCACAGGAAGTCCTGAAGGCGGTTTCCGGAAAATTCAGTCCCGTTCAGCAATGGCTCTACGTGGACTCTCTGGAGTCCCTCCCCACCTCAATCACTAGATCGGAGGAGAGCTGCAAACCTCTGGGAACCCGCTATGACGGCCAGATTGCCGTCTTCGGTAAGGAGTACCAGGAGAAGATCTCCAACGTGACTCAGTTCCTTGTTGGAGCTGGAGCTATTGGATGTGAGACCTTGAAAAACTGGGCTATGATCGGTCTTGGTACCGGTCCCAAGGGCAAGATCTATGTGACCGATATGGACCAGATCGAGAAGAGCAACCTCAACCGACAGTTTCTGTTCCGCTCGAAGGACGTGGGCAAGCTGAAGAGTGAGTGCGCTTCCGCCGCGGTCCAAGCCATGAACCCTGAATTGGAGGGCAAGATTGTCACCTTGCGGGATCGAGTGGGACCCGATACCGAGCATATCTTCAACGAAGACTTTTGGGAAAAACTAGACGGAGTCACCAACGCTCTGGACAATGTCGACGCGAGAACCTACGTGGATCGCCGTTGTGTTTTCTTCCGAAAGCCCCTCCTGGAGAGCGGCACTCTCGGTACCAAGGGCAACACTCAGGTGGTCCTGCCGCACATCACGGAATCCTACTCGAGCTCGCAGGATCCCCCAGAGAAAACCTTCCCCATGTGCACGCTGAAGAGTTTCCCTAACCGGATTGAGCATACGATTGCTTGGGCCCGGGATCTCTTCCAGACCTACTTTGTCGGCCCCCCGGAGTCCGTTAACATGTACCTGTCCCAGCCGAACTACATTGAACAGACCCTCAAACAGGCCGGCAACGAGAAGCAAACTCTGGAGTCGCTGCACGAATTCTTGGTGGCTGACAAGCCATTGACCTTTGACGACTGCATTGTTTGGGCCCGTAACCAATTCGAGGCCCAGTACAACAACGCAATCCAACAGCTGCTCTACAACTTCCCTCGGGACTCGAAGACGTCGTCCGGTCAGCCCTTCTGGTCTGGACCCAAGCGTGCTCCTACGCCCCTGAAGTTCGACGCCACGAACCCCACCCACCTCGGATTTGTGATCGCCGGAGCCAACCTGCATGCCTTCAACTACGGCATCAAGAACCCCGGCGCCGACAAGGAGTACTACCGCAAGGTTATTGACAACATCATCATCCCCGAGTTTACTCCGAGGTCCGGCGTGAAGATCCAGGCCAACGAAAACGATCCCGACCCGAACGCCCAGGCTGGCGGATCCTCTTTCGATGACAACACGGAGATCCAGCGCCTTGTCGATGCTCTGCCATCGCCGAAATCGCTTGCTGGCTTCCGTCTGACCCCGGTGGAGTTCGAGAAGGACGACGATACCAACCATCACATCGACTTCATCACTGCAGCCAGCAACCTTCGTGCCGACAACTATGAAATTCCTCAGGCCGACCGCCACAAGACCAAGTTCATTGCGGGCAAGATCATTCCTGCCATCGCCACCACGACTGCGTTGGTTACTGGACTGGTTGCCTTGGAGCTGTACAAGATCATTGATGGCCAGGATGATATTGAGAAATACAAGAACGGCTTTGTCAACCTTGCGTTGCCGTTCGTTGGCTTCAGTGAGCCTATTGCCAGTCCCAAGGGCAAGTACCAGGGCAAGGATGGTGAAAAGACCATCGATCAGCTTTGGGATCGCTTTGAGGTGGATGACATCCCCCTCAAGGACTTCCTTCAGTACTTCTCCGACCTTGGATTGGAGATTAGCATGGTGAGCTCCGGAGTGAGCTTGCTTTACGCCAGCTTCTATCCCCCGGCGAAGGTGAAGGACCGCCTTCCGCTGCCGTATGTTATCCCTTCATTACAAATAACCTCCGACTGTTGATTGACTAACATTCTCTTGTATAGGATGAGCAAACTGGTGGAGCATGTCAGCAAAAAGCCCGTGCCCGACCACCAGCGAAATATCATCTTCGAGGTGACCGCCGAGGATCAGACGGAGGAGGATGTTGAGATTCCATATGTGATGGTCAAGCTGAGGAAGTAGATGAGAAGGGGAAAACGAGGTGGAGCGCTGTCTAGAGTGAACGTGCCTTTATTATGTTAGTGCCTGATGATTCAAGACTTAGAAAGCCATTGGTAAATAACTAAATGTGCCTCCATCACTAAATCATCCGTAAGAATGACCAAGCATCGCTTTGTCAGCACACGTCATCGCTCCCCGCACCCTGATTGGGCTTCGTCTTTCTCTCCGCGACGCCTTCAGCCCCGTCCAGGCCTTCTCCGGTCACTATTTATACTCCTCGTATCGACGCCGTTCCCATCGTCTCTCTCTCTTTCTCGTTCTGCCCCTCACTTCTCATGTTCTCTGGCCTCCGCCGTCTCCAGCTGTCCTCCCGCCACATCCTGCCCCTCAACACCACCGCGGGGTTCCCATCCAGCATCTCCGCACGATCGATCGCTCCACGCACGATGGCTGTAAGCTACCATAGAAGCCCTACCTACCGGCAATTCCTCGAATACTAACTGCCAGCGACCCAATCCTAGACTGGAAACTCCCACAAGATCACCGACTGGGTCAATCCCAACGACAAGTCTGGTGAATTCAAGCGTCAGCAATCCGTCTTCCGGAACTGGATCTCCAGCAAACCCGGCGCGGAATTCCCCCCGGAGAAGGATCGCTACCACCTCTATGTCTCATACGCCTGTCCCTGGGGTACTTGCATTATATTCCCTTGTTATTATCTCTCTTTGTAAGGAGACGCAGGGGAGCAAAAGACTAATATCATCAAACTCGCACAGCGCACCGGACTTTGATCACGCGAAAGCTCAAGGGCCTGGAGGACATTATCTCGTTCACGTCGGTGCATTGGCATCTAGCTGAGAAAGGTTTGACTCTCCCTCCATCTCTATTTATATTAAATGACTAGTTGTTAAAGGGGACAACGGCTGATATGTGGTCTGAGTAGGTTGGCGCTTCGCAACCCAAGAGGAGAACTTGCCTGGCGAAAACGCGGTCCCGGATCCATTGCATCCCCAGTATACGCATCTGCGCGAGCTCTACTTCTCCAATGACCCCGAGTACTCGGGACGATTCACGGTTCCCGTTCTCTTCGATAAGAAGACCCAGCGCATCGTGAGCAACGAGGTATGTCTAGCCTGGAGAACTTTGCGCCATCTACCTTACCCCATCCATTTCTTCATTCTTTCACATCCCCATACACATCCACTTTGCGCGCAACCCCATCTTCCAACCAACCAACATACCTAACACCAACACCAGAGCGCGGAAATCATCCGCATGTTCTACACCGAATTCGACTCCCTCCTCCCCCAACAATACCAGTCCATCGACCTGTACCCCAGCGCACTCCGCGCCTCCATCGACGCGACAAACGACTGGACCTACAACGACGTCAACAACGGAGTCTACAAGTCCGGCTTCGCTACCACGCAAGAAGCATACGAGAAAGCCGTGACGACGCTCTTCGCCTCCCTGGACAAGATCGAGGAGCATCTGGCCACTACCCAGGGACCATTCTATTTCGGGTCAGCGATCACGGAGATCGATATCCGGCTGTTCACGACGATCGTGCGCTTCGACCCCGTCTACGTGCAGCATTTCAAGTGCAATGTACGGGATATTCGCTCGGGTTATCCGGCGGTGCATCGCTGGTTGAGGCACTTGTATTGGCAGGTGCCAGCGTTCCGGGACACGACGGAGTTCGAACACATCAAGAAACATTATACGAAGAGTCATAAGCAGATCAACCCGTTTGGAATCACCCCTGTCGGACCGGTCCCGGATATTCTGCCTCAGGATGAGGAGGTGAGGGCTGTGGCTGTGGCTGCAGTGAAGAAGTGAACAATGATCCCAATGACAATTCACAAAAAGAAAAAGGTTTTTGGATCATGCTTGAGGTCGTTTGGCTGGTATTGATGATTTATCAAAAGAAGGAATTGATGTCAACTGCAATATTTATATAATTAACCAAATAGTCTAGTCTAACATAGTATGTGAAAAATGCATATCAACTATTTTCAAGGTATATGTCCTCTCCACCCACATTATCGTGTAATAGATGCCGTGAAGCAAAAGAAGTCTTTTTAAGTACAATTCGAACCAGGTGCAATCGCTGGTTCGACAGGTCGGGAATCCGGTGAATAAATGAGATGATGACGAGCAGAAAGTGAACTCCAGAGTATGCTGCAACGCACGACGCCTGCCATGCGAACAAAGTCGGCGGGACGCCCGTTTCCAATGTGGAATGGCCGTTCGAGAAGACCGCCGGTCTCAATGCCAGAAAACGCAAAATGGGCTAAGAATAAAATGCCATTAGTATATCCGATTAGAAAGATTGAGGGTGATGTGAAAGAAATGGGGCGACGATGCCGTATCAAGCACGTGCTAGAGATCCATTGCTGTCCTTCCAAAGAGGGAGAACAAAACCAAATCGGGCTAAATGGCTGCGAGGGTATCTTGGCAAAAATTTCTAGAATTTAGAGAAATCAAGGTGAAGTGGAAATGAGCGTGCTTTGAATCAGGAGGGTCCCAGAGCTCGGTGGTAGTTGCAGGTAGCCACCAGCTTCGGGACCGAGTCGCGGCTTTATCGCAAACCAAGCATTCGTTTGGCGTTCTCATATACAACGTAGCTGATAGAAACCGCAGGCGCAACCTTGAGAAGGTTCGGCGTCAGTCCTTTGTAGAATCCACGGAAGCCTTCGGCCTGTATCGTCTTGCGGGCAACTTCGCCAATGCTGTCGTAAGTTTGGGGATGGAGAATGGTGCCTTGAGCCTGCATTCGGGTCCGGAGAACGTTGAGCGGATAGACGACAGAGGCACTCAATCCTCCACTAAGCGCGCCAATAGCTCCGGTAGTAAAATTGTTCAAAGGGACGTCGTCTTCATGGCAGTGGTGCATGCGAGCTTTGCGCGCAAGTAAGCCGCGTTTCAGGTATTCGAACGTGGTTAAGTCGATTGCAGCATATGGAAACATGCCAAAAAGTCCGAGCGGCAGGCCACGGAAAAATCCGAAGGGACCATGTTTGTTCACAACTTTGCGTGCTGTGGCTGCAATAAGTTTGTTGCCTTTGAGGCCGCCTTCAACCGTCTCGCACTGCATTCGACTAGGATAATATGAGCTTATGATGAACGAGAATGATGCTGCATGGATAGATTTACTTACAATTTCAGAGTATCAAGTGGATAAACGAAGCATCTACCTCGCGGTCAGCTTGAAATTCAGAGTTGACTTGAATCCTCACGGTAACATACTGGGCAACCATTCCACCGCACCCTCCGGATAGAAACTGCGACGTCGGCGCAAGACGTTTGGTATCGCCGTGGCCTTCAAAGCGGGCAAAGGCGCGCTTGGCAGACTAAGCTCATCGCATTAGCAAATTGTAGGCTGGTCAATTAGCCAAACGAGGAGGAACTGACTTCATAAGCGCCGAACTTTATGGCCGATTCAGGCATGACTTTCAACACGTTCAATCCATTCCCTATGGTCATTAGTCAAGCCTTCTCTCTCGTGTTGACCGGAGCGAAACCAACCTGCAAAGAGACTCCGAATACCTCCTGCACGCCATAACTCCTTAACCGCGTCTGCGAGCGTTTTTGATGCGGTCCCCGCCGCCTTCAGCGGCGCACCATCCTTGGCCGCACGAACAGCAGCCGTTTGCACACCGGTTTGCGCAATGAGATAGACTTTCAGTCGGTCCAAGGGCGCGGTTGCTGTTCGTGATACGGCGCCAGCAATCCCGCCTGCAATAAAGTAACCTAATTGAGGAGTGTTTTCTGTCAACTTTCGCTCATAATATCGGAAGGACATCCACATGGCGACAGTCCTGGGTATAGGCAGCCACTCCAAGTCGAAGTCGCCGTCTAAGGGGCCAGAAGCATGGTCAAACGCAGGGCCGGGAGTAGACACCCCGCCGACTTCCGCATAAGCCGATGGGATGAGAGTTGCCAAGGCGTGCACTGGGAAAATATAGTACAAAAGGTTCTTTATGGCCAAGATATAACGGCTAGGAAACGAGTGGTCTGTACCTAAACCCTGTAGATCATTGATGTGGACATCTCCTTCCGGGTTTAGATTGCCCGTGGCCGTGTAGTAGGAAAGGACAGCGTGCAAGTTCGAGGACGAGTAGGCAGGTAATAAAAGGAGGAAGTCCCTATCAACGAGTCATTAGCCCGAGTCAGCCAGAACCCCAAATGACGTACAGACGTCAGGAGAGGGGAAAGAACAGGAATGAGGTGGCGCGAAAAGGACAAGATCGAGCGACGGAGAGGCAAGGATCGACCGCGTACATACCTCCACTCAGCGTACGAGATGACACCGTCTTTATTCGTATCGACATCGGCGAAGAATTCATTTAGTTTGGCGTTGGACACGGTCAGGTCCGCGTTTGCAAAGGCGGACTTCAATTCGTTTTTATCAATTTCGCCGTTGTGATTGCGGTCAATACTCTGGAAAAGGTGCCATAACCCATGTTCAGTATGGTCGACGAAGGCCCGGAATTCTGGGACTCATTAGGTTTGTAAAACTAACCGGCATGGTTGCCAGTTACTCTGGGAGAGGAACAAGTCACGTCCATGATCCCGACGTGTGATCTTACCTGAGTAATCGATATACCCATCGCTATTGGTATCGACGGTTTTCATGACATTCCGCAACATACTGTCCGCATTTTTGAGGGCTATCGAGATGGAGAGTCATCGGGTCAGTCGGCTGCGCGGCAAGCAAAGCACGGGAACAGCTCTTGCAGGTCATGCTCACGGTGGTCGATCTTCTTCAGCCCCTTCTTCAACCCATTGAAATCCAAGCGACCGTCTCGAGGGACCCCCAATCGTTCCCAAAGTTTCGCGACTCGCAGGTCACGTTCATCTTTCGATTCGTCGGGTGCCATGATCGATAGTTGGGCCATTACCGGCCAGCCGACATGATATTTCCCAGGGGAGGGGTTTTCCGTCACGGGGTTTGAGGATCGGAGATCAGTAGCCTGTCGCGGCCGGGCAAGAGTGAGAATAGGAACCAGGTGGGCATCGAATCCGCGGGGGGGCAGCAAGACTAGTTGTGGTTTAGATGGTGAGGAGGGTGTCGCAGTAGTTCCGCGGACATGGCAAACAGAGCGCGGAAGCCATGAGAAATCCAGCCGCAATGATTTGCTTTGCCTTACGACATTCCGCCGGAAGAAAACTGAGCGTCGGCCCGGGCTTTCAACTGTCACGGGACTGCCACGGGGGACCAACCCTACTAGGCCTGTTTGGGATGGCGCACCTGCGCCTTGTCTCGGGCTGCTCTCTTGTAAGTTGTACCTCTGTACTACTTACTCCGTGACTCTTCTATCATCCATGTTGGCCAAGTAGCCGACATCGTCGTTCCACAATTACCTACATCGTTAGACCCTGATCCCCCTCAATTCCGCCATGACTGCGCGGTCGATCGGGATCTAATGCTAGAATTCCTAAAAGCCCCGACCTCCCCGTCAGTCTAGGTCTATATAACACTACTCCCGGCTCCCCTCCTTTCACGGGGCCGAACGGGCTATGGCTGCCAATTATTGGGCGTCGACTCAGCGTCGACACTGGCTGTTCACGCGCGAAAGGTTGATGGAAATCCGTGAAGGGTTCAAGGAACGAGACAAGATCGCGCATTCCCAGTTTCCTTTGCCGGATCAAAGGTTGCTCAATATCTATTTCAGCCAACGTAAGAGAAGATGAGATGTTACGTGATGCTTATCGCAGCGACTGAGAGCTGAAAATCCGGCAGAACTGATCAAACTCGGCAAGAGAATGTCGACTCGACAACAGGCGCTCGCAACGGCCCAAGTATACATCAAAAGATTCTACACCAAAAATGAGATCAGACACACCAATCCTTATCTGGTCGTGACCACCGCATTTTATCTCGCCTGCAAAATGGAAGAATGCCCTCAACATATCCGCTTTGTCGTCGCCGAAGCGCGTAACTTCTGGCCGGGTGAGACACCTTCATCTATACATGACCTTCTTGCGGGAAGACATGGTGTTCATAGCCGCTAATCTTCCCCGCGCAGAGTTTATCGCTCCTGATGTGTCAAAGCTGGGCGAGTGTGAATTTGCCTTGATCTCCGAGATGAACTCTCAGCTTATTGTTCATCACCCGTACCGAACGCTATCGGAGCTACAGCCCGAATTAGCTCTGACGTCCGATGAGGTTGCTCTCGCATGGTCAGTGATCAACGATCATTACCTGACGGACCTGCCACTACTTTATCCGCCCCATGTCATTGCAGTCATGGCTATTATTGTTGCCGTTGTGTTCAAACCGAGTCAAGCCAACTTCCATGGATCTGCGGCTCCCATAGCCTCGGCCATGCGAGATGGGGGCATGAATATTCTTGCGGCACTGGGGGATAGGAACGGCAGCGGCCCACCCCCTCGGATTCAGAAACTCATCGGCTGGCTGGCCGAGAGCGAAGTTGACATCCGAGCCGTCATCGAATGTACTCAGGAGCTAGTGTCGCTGTACGAGGTCTGGGAGCAATACAATGAAAAGCACTGCAAGGAACTGCTAGGCCGGATGATCAAGAGCAGGAATCTTGACAAGTAGGTTTTGAATAGATATGAAAGCATTGTTCTACGGTACCACCATTCGGCGTCTTTGGTTCAGCCCTAGCAATTCTACTATCCGGTCTCCGACCAACGATCACTTAGCCATTGAGATGCTATTATCATTGCATCGGACCATGCATATACATATACAGGCAGTCAGTATGTTAACATTGAATATATATCCAACTGAGTTTACACTGGGGTTCTATAGATAGTAAAATCCCTAGCCTACGGAGCACTTACTCCGTAGACTAGTTCATGAGGCATGTGTTTAAATTATCTAGTCTCTAAAGTCTAGGAGTTACAAGACGAGTGTACACAGTACCTCTGCCATCCGGTATGCAAGACAAACCATGTGAAATACCAACCAGAGAATCCGTCTAAGAATAGTCATGGAAGGCTGGCTTAATTTTCAAGATTCTTGCTGGTCTGATTTACATGTCCGGAATCAAGATCTGAGCAAAGAATCGTTCAGTGTCTAAGATCCAATAGGTTGGCCGGCACGGGATGTCTATCAAGGAGACATGAATACTACTACATGCCACCAAGCAAGGGATGTGAAACACTTGATCGATCGGCCGGGGTCTCAGCAAGCGCCCATATTGACGGCCACGGTCGAGCACGCACCCAATAAAACTGTCTCGTGGGACTTTGTACTGAAGACCATGTCTGACTAGAGTGAATGTATGTATGTACCTTGTCCTACTGTATGTAGGCGCTCCGCAGATGACGGTACTCACAGAAGAGTCCTGCATGGGGATCACAAAAATACCTGATGAATCTCGGGGTAAATGCTGGTTGGTATTCGGTCATATCTGAGGATTTGACCCCGGTCGGTCGATACGGTCAGACACTACGGAGTAGGTAGAAGTACCTACCGCTAGCACAATTAGTACGGAGTACTCCGTAGCAGGTAGAGAGTACTTGCGTCAGACTCGAGAGCTCGAGACCAACTCCTGGGCAGTACTTCGTAAGGCTTCCCAATCGTTAAGCGCCTATGCAATTAGCATACGGTGTATATGCCCGGACTTGAATTCTTATTCGTGGTCGGGGTAGCTTCAACCAGCCGACACTTTTATCCCTGCACCCGCATTGCGACCCTTACCAACAAGCACCAACCACCTTGATGCTGACATCTGCATGTCCTGTTGACTTCCGCTTCCCACGCCCTCTCTTTGTTTCTGTCTTTTTCGTTTCCAGACTAGCCCAGACACTTTCGTTCTTGGACGAAAGATTGTCGAGGTTCGACCCACCCCTCGTTATGAGATACCACGCAAGGTGTAGGCTATGTTTGAGAAAAAGGAATTCCCCCGGTTTTGGCGCTTTGTATGATAGATCATCGTAGTCACTGATCCCGGGTGTCGATGGATTCCCCACAGGTCCACCATTGAGAACAAATAGACGACGGCTACAGTTGATTCGTCATGAATCGAGATTGCAACGTACTCAGCACTCCGTCGAGCGGCAACCGAATGATCAGAATCTCAACCTTAATCGAGGGAATTAAAGAGCGGTGAGACGAGTGAAAAAGAAGAGAGGGGGTCCGCGACCCGATTCCATGATTCAGTTTCCGACAAGAAATTGGATCCGGGGGGGGGGGGGGGGGGGGGGCGGGGGGGTGGGGGCGGGGGGGGGGGGGGTGGCGGGGGGGGGGGTGGCCGGGGGGGGGGGGGGGGGGG